CCCCCCCCCCCCCCACATCCATACATCAACCCTCGCTCGCGAAGGTTGTTAAATCACTCAATCAACCTCATTTCCCCCCCCCCTTCCCCTCCCCTCGGCATAATTATCGGGCAGAATCCTTCTCCTCCCTCGTAAACACGACCTCGAGCTCGTCACCAACCCTGCCATTATCAATCTCGCCATCCCAAGGCACAAACGCAACCGAGGCACGCAGACCCCAGCGCTTACCCAGCTCCTTGCGCTGCTCGAGCGGAACCCGCGCTTTCATGCCCTCCCACACTGCACGAAACGCTTCACCCTGGCCCTGGCGCTCGTCTTCCTGACCCTCGTCGGGAGCATCGAACCACACGCCTTCATCTACCATGCGCACTAGGTCATCCGTCGGTTCCATCGACGCCCAGATATCCGTGGGGGCGTAGCGGACCCGCACTTCCTGGAGACTTGTCGTCGAGTTCGCAGCGCCAAGTGCATGCGGAGCAACCAGCATAAGTAGTGCGTGCACACAGACTTGGATCCAGTAGCGGATTTTCACGGGAAGCGCGTAGCCTGGGCGGGAGAGGTGGCGGTGGTGGTACGACTCGCGCGAGATGAAAGCCAAGGGGAGGGTTATGCTGGTTAGGGTGAAGGAAGGGGAGGAGAGGTAGGTAAATAAGGGTGTTACTTCGAGGGAGATGAGGAGGTCGAGTTTGCTGGATATATCGGCAGCAGAGGCTTCTTGGGCGGGATCGTGGTTGGGGTCGATGAATGGGTAGTGGGTTGAGAGACCGAAGGGGTCGTTTGCGTTGGGAGGCTGAGAGGGGGTGCGGTGGCGGAAGGAAGGGTATAGAGGCATATTTGGGGGGTCGTACAGATTGTCGTCGTAGTGCTGACCTTCGTGGTCGTATTCGTCGTAGTGGGCGTTGTAGTATGCGCCTCGGATGTAATCGACGTCAACTTCGACTTGGTCGTGCTCCCAGTAGTCATCGACTCGGGCCTCATCTCGTTCGGGAGGATAGTTGCGTAGGTTGGGGAGTGTCTCCCAGTTCAGCTGTATCTTTTTCAACCACTTGAGCCATTGTCTGCCAGGGCCATTTGGTTCTTCAATCTTTTCGAACAGAGTCTTGAGTACGAAGGGCCCGCAGCTGAGGTAGACGGTATGGTGCTTGAAGAGTACCTCGAGCGCTTCACGGGCGACCTGGCGGTTGAGGAGGAAATAGTCATGGCGAGTTATGAGAAGAATGGCAGCGGCGCTGGGCTGAAAGTACTTTAGGTTGCGCCGTTCAATAGGGCGCTGGCAACGGTGGTTTTGCGTGGCAAAGGCATAGTCATATATCTATTACCTTGTTAGTTGTACGGCAGAATATGGGTGTGTGCATGGATGATAGAGGTGAAGTGCGTACATGATCTCTGAGCTCCCGAGGAAGTTTAAGAAAAGGGAAGATGGCTTGTTGCGGCAGTGCATCCTCACCTTGGTGTTTTACTGCATCGACATGGTGCGTATCAACGGCGGCCATGGTGCGTCGCGTTCTTTTTTTTTCGTAATTTAATTCTCCGCTTCACGCGTCGTGTCGTGTTCCTGTCTGCAGACCAAGCCCTGCCCCGCAAGGCAGCAGCTAGGGAAGTGTTCCAGGTTCCCCGCCACGCCGATCCTCACGTGAGGGCCGATTTTCAGTGCCGACGCCACCCCTGTCGTGCGGCAGCATGGCGGTGCAAGCGTCTGACACAGAGCTTGGAAGAACGGGCCGACTTGTGCCTGTAATGACCTTCATGCGCGTAGCGTGCCGTCTTTTCGGGTCGCTAGTAGTCGCGTCAGTAGGGAGCCCTGAAGCGACAAGAGCCGTCGAGGCCGAGTCTCGTTGTGCTACTAGATTCGTGAGGCAATAGCCCCCTCCCCCGAGAAGGTTTCTCGACGCCCGGAGCTAACAACCAACCTTCTCTGAAGGTCTTAGTCAGTCGACGCCAAGCGGAACCTCCTCTACTCATGGTCGCACGGCATCTAGGTAGGACTTGGTCCATGTACATATGTCGTATCTATCTGCATATGCATGTACCACTCCAGTCTGTGGCCGGCGCTGCAGGGCCATTCGGCTCCTTTGATTGCAGATACGTAACGGTACATTGCCTGTTCAGGTACTGTCGCCACCCTCATCGGCCCATGGCACACCGAGTTTGTCACCAGCAAGCATGCAGAGACAAGGTGCAGAAATACACATGTATCAAGGACGGGTCGGCAGTCGTCTCATTTCGTCTGTCATGGCCCTATTAGCGCCGAGCTGACTGGATTGGACAGCACCAAACCAAATTAGCCAGCACCCCAAACTGGTTGAGCCCTTTGACAACCGAATGCCCTTGAATCAATGCATTGCGGAAGCTGTATACATACGGGTCGTGGGCCGAATAGGTTTTTTTTTGTTGCCAACCGACATTCAGCGTGTAATGACGGGCTTAGGCTTGTCTTGCATGTGTACTACCCCCAGCGCCCCCAACAGTTCCACCTACGAGCGGATACCAGCCGCTGGCAGGTTGACGCACTGTGTGGTGAGTGCACAACATCCGTCTTTTGACGCCCGTCTGCTGTGCGAATCTGGCGCATCTGGATAACGTGCCGGGCCATGTGATGATGATGATGATGCAGCAGAAAGAGGCTGTTGAAATGCTGCAGCGTCATGAGTGGCAGTACTGGGTATGCCGTGTTTGAAACTCTATCAACAAAAGGACCCTGAGCCATTCCTCTCTTGTGGGATGTAGTCCTGCATGTGCAACGGCGTCTGTGTCTGGTGAGGCGCACATCTCTTACATGCTAGTGATGCTGTGTTTGTAGCCCCAAGTGTTGACATCCATGTACAAAGCGGGACGGAACGGTAAAGACTGATGATGATTTGTTGCGTAGAAATGTTAGCTCCAGGGTGCTAGGGCCATGTGGACAATGTAATACTATTGGTATGATAATAATGATGTTGGTTATGATGATGACGGTGGAGGTGGTATCGTGATCAAGCGACCCACGGTACTGATGTGGAATTGCAGAGCACGCTAGTTAGACAGAGCAGATGGAGCAGTGTGCTGAGGTACAAGACATCAGGTGGCACCTGGCACAAGGCCGTTGTATGTGCGGTTGAATGTATGGACCCGGTGGTTGGGTCTGCGTGAGGTGGCACTGTCAAGTCGAGTAAAGTACGCACATAGTGAGGAGAGGACAACATATACAAATATGCATGGTGCAATAGAGGGCCGAAGTCGGCATGAGCCGAAAGAGCGACACGCGGTGCAAGAACAACTGTCACCGAGAATGCAGTCAGCAGCGAGGCCAGGCCGTGGGCCCATGTTAGGTGTTGGCCGCGAGACTAATGCTAGATTAATAGAAGCGGGTTTAGCCTTCCGTCGTGTCACCTCAGGATGGCACGGATACTGGATCTCGTCCGCGCCGGATGAGCGTAGTAGTGGGCACTGGGATGTCGATCAAGAAAGCAGGGACGAGTGAATGTTTGTGGATGGGATGGAGTGGATGGAGGATGCCAAGAGTGGCAGAAACACGGGACTGGCAGCGAATAGGACTACGGGCTCCGGGTAGAGTGGCATGATGTCTGGTGGCTGACGCATGCAATCCTGGCTTTGTCGGACGGCTTCTTCGAGGGCCCAAGGATGGAAACAGCAGGTCTGAAGGGCCATGGCCGAATAGTCTGCCTGGGCGCAACGGTCACTGGCGATCTGCGAGGAGGGCCCCCGGCACGACAGGCACGGGGCTAGCAGAGTATGGCAATGGTGAAGGCGAAGGCGACGGGATCTTGCCGACAGGGGTGCATGTGCTGCCACGGACGGATGCAGAGGCGAGGCGCGCGTGGTGAAGGAAGGGCGCGTGGATCGGGGTTATGGGGGGGGGAGGGGGAAGGGGAAGGGGAACGTGGAGGAAGAGGGTCCTGATAGCGCGGCATGGCTGCAGCTTGGGCGGCGAGGAGTGGCCACGTCGATTTTGTTTCGCGGCGGATGCAGCAGAGCGAGGGAGGGCGTAGGGTAGTGTAGCGTAGGGTAGCGTAGCGTAGGCGTGGATGCTGTCCTGTCCTATCCTGTCCTGTCCTGTTCTGTCGCAGAATTTGCTTGGGCTCGGCGCACTCGCCGGTTGGGTAGCATGTGCAGAGGGACATGTGGGACCTCGTGGCGGTACAGCGGGCAGCGGGCTAGCACCACGCACACGGCTTGGGCGACGGTGACGACAAAAGGACCAGGCTCTGCCATGTTCGCATCCCGCGTTGCGCCCGCCCGCCGTCGCAAGTGGGAAGTAAGTAGGAGGCATGATGGTATTGAGAATGGTCGTGGTGCCGTCTGCTCGCCTGTCGCTGTGCTGCCATGCTGTCTGTCGTATACATGTACCGTATACACTGTACATATAGCATATACTATTACATAGTAGGCACTCTGCGCCGCACCACCCCCTCCACCCCTTGGCCGCCCCGAGTCAATCCGCATCCCCCGTCTGGAGCAGAGTCGGTAGCGCGGGCACCAGTTCACGCGTCGAGACAGGGTGCCCATATTAAAGTGCAGCTAGCCGCCGCTAGACGGGCTGCTGAGATACACGAGGCCTCGATTGAACGATTTCCCACGTGTGGCTCGCTCGTGTGCTCGGCGCCAGCATATCCATTAATTGGCTGTGCCCTGGCCCAAGGACCCTCACCCATACTCGACTCTCTCCGTTCTCTACAAGGCCTCGTCCGACGGTCGTACACTTGCTCCCTGACCGCCAACCGCCGGCTGCTCGCTGCTTTGTTGTTGTGCTGCCCGCTGCCCGCTTGTGTTCCCACCCCAGCGTCCTTGGAACTGCCTGGGGCCGTCTATGCAAGGCACCACTGCTGCTGCTGCTGTTGCTGTCCCGTCCTTCTCTCTCCCTCTCTCCCCCTCTCCTCCCTGCCCGGCTCCCTATCCTTGTTCTTGTTCTTGTTCTTCTGCCGCTGCCGCCGCTGCTGCTGCTACTTCTTATTATTCGGCCCCTTCGTTCTTTTTTCCCCACCTTCTTCGCGACATGCACCCGACCTGCTTGTCTGCCGAGTGTGCTTAACGCCCCCCGGGTGCATTCTTCGGTCTCACGCGCCCTGGCCCTTACAGAAATCTGCCACCCGCATTCGACTTTCTTTTCACGCCTCGCCTCGCCTCATCTCATCGCACCTGAGCCTAGCAAGACGTCAACTCGTCGTGTGTACCACGGCAGCTCCACGCCACCCTCCTCTTCGTCCAGCGAGTCGGCCCAGCCGGTCCACCTCTTGCTCGAGCGCCCGCCACGACGCCTCGCTTGACGCCTGAGTGCCGCAGTCCCTCTCTCCGTCGTGCCGATCGCAAATCCCACCATCTGGACGCCTTGGACCAATTGCGCCTGCCAGCAACCACTCCCACACGCTCTCGTGGCAGCATTGCACCCGCCGCACCCTCCTTTTTTTTTCTGTCCTGCCCTCGTGCTGCCTCTGGCGTCATAGCCGTTGGTGCTGCTGTCGCCATCGCTGGTGCTGCTGTTGCTGTCGCTGTCGACGCAATTCAACGTGTGGCGTGCGCGCGCCCTCCCGCGTGTCTCGTCGCATCGCGCTTGCCCTCTGAGTCGGTGCCAGTCTGGCTTGGCGTAGCTTTATCCTGTCCTGCCCCACTTCATCGCCTGCCATTCTCTCGTTGGAGCAGGTGCAAAGCAGTATCCCCTGCTCAGCTCGACTATCCTTCCCACCCCGCCTCGCTCTGACTTCTCCGTTCCACGCTTCTACTATCCGTCGATCTTTGGGAACAGGTCCCCTTTATTTCTCAATCATTACTTTTGGACCCTCTTCCAGACCCTGGGTCCTGCCCTGACCCGTTACCACTTGCACGCCACCCTGTCAGCCTCCCTATTGGTCCTGTCTCGCATCACCATTCAACCCTGTGGCACATTGCTCTACCAAGAGACGTTTTTCGCTAACGCAGAGGCCACACTGTCCGTTACTATTAAACAGCTCGCTCGTGAGCAAAGCCCACAGCCATGGATTCATCAGCCCAACCGCGAGTGCAGCATGGCAATGGTGTGCATGGTAAACTGCCTCAAGGACAGCAATCACTGCCACCATTATCAACCCTCACAAACGGCTTGCCTACGGCCGAACACAGCCCGGCACAACCAAAGCAACAAATGGACAGCCGGGACATCCGCGACTCGGGAAATTGGTCCATTGCTCCAAGCAAACGTGAGTATCCAACACCACCTGCCTGTCACCTACACGTTGTCCTAACGTGCACGCCAGACTCATCTACTGTCTCTCAGCACATGGGGCTGCAGGTGCAAACTCTTCTGAACCCTTCCGATGATTCACCCTCGCGTGCATCGATACCAGAGACACCATCGTCGGCAAGGTATCCTTCTGGCTTCTCTCAGTCTTCACAGCCAAGTGCTTTGCCATCTCTCAACCAAGGGTTTGACAACAGGCTAAGTGTTGATGCTAGCTCACATCTAGAATCTCGTCGCAGCAGTGTAGACAGCCGCATGAATGTTGGTATGGGCCATCTCAGCATCCATCCACAATCGCCGTACGAGAGCCAGAATGCATCCCGGGTTTCCCTTGTCTCGAATTTGCAGCAGCAACGAGGCATTGCAAACCCCGAGTCGCGCCCCAATGGCACTTCTCCTCTGTCGCCGAATCGCAATGGTCCACGTGCCAACCACCCTCCACGGCGCGCCCCCGTCATTACCCCAAACCCCAAGAGTGTATCTGGAGCCCCTAATCCTACCGCCTCGGCACCGACCAAGGGATATGCTTGGGCCTTTCCAGCAGACGATTTTGAGCATGAGGACAAAAGAGCATCGAGTAGTGGTGAGTCTAGCATTGATCGCTCAAATGTGCCTTCGCGTCAGAACAGTATTGCAACTTCAATCAATAGTAGTATATACACCACTGACTCAAGATTACCCCAAGGCCAACAGCGGCTAGATGACGGCATGTATCTCAGTCTGTTTCATGTGACATTACTGACTGATGTGTAGACATTCCAAGTACCCATCATCATTCTATGCAACATCGTAGCGTTACGAATCTTCAGAGCATAGATCCCAGCAATCCTTTGACTCCTGGTGGCGGAAGCTATAGCCGGACACCCGAGCTTCGCGTGAGCCACAAAATGGCTGAGAGGAAGCGCAGAAGCGAGATGAAGACTTTGTTTGATGACCTAAACAACATCTTGCCCAACTCGCCAGGCAGCAAATCAAGCAAGTGGGAGATACTTACCAAAGGTAAGCTTTGTCACGGCCTCTCCCATGTATCTTCCTAACAAATTACCAGCCATCGAGTACATACGAAATCTCACCAGAGCACATCAGACTGCTCGCGAAGAGATTAGTCGCTTGCGACCTGACGCTGAATATTGTCGACGGGCCCAAGAAGAGAACGAGTTACTTCGCTCCGAATTGACAGCCGTATGGAACGCTCTTCGTCGTGTTGACCCCAACAATGCACACGTCTATGGAAGTATGACTGGTCATCTCGCCCAGGGGCATCCTACAACGCCTGGTTCTGCCACCACCGTGCTCCCACCACTTCAGCAACAGCAACAGCAACAGCAACAGCAGCAACAACAACAACCGCCGCCAGCTTCGTGGGTGCCGCCGCATGCGAATGCCATGCAGGGCGTAGAGTTTGGTGGGATGCGCCCATATGAACATTCACATCGCTAAAACCCTATCTTTCTTCCACCTCTGTCAGGCTGAGTGCTTCTGCTCAACAGCTTGTCTTGGGCTCTATCCCACACAGTTTGCGGACGGACAAACACTTGCGCAATCGTTGTCGATATAGCGCCGGATCCAGTCACGCCACATTTATGGGATGTTGGCCTTAACCTTTTTTTTGCTCTTTCTTATCGGGGGGTTCGAGGCGGGTGTACTTTCCAGTGTTATTCCAACATGCGTACATGCCTTGGTTGGCGCTAGGCCAACTGAATCCCCCTGAGCGTGGCGTTAATTACTTTCAAATGTGCTTTACGACCTTTTTCAGCATGGAAAAACTTCTCGTAGCATGGCCCTTTGCGGCCGTTTCTTTTTCGTTCTCCCAGGGTGAAGGGGGAGGGCATTTTTTATTTCTACTATATGAGCATAGGGGCATCATCTATCTGCAGGAGGGGCAGTAATTACCCGGCAAGCTGGACAAAAATTTATACGCCATATATTTCCAAGGGTGGATTCAAAAGATGAGAAAAACTTTTCAAAAAGGCATATGTTGGCTTGTACTTCTAGTATATCACTGAAAATGGGCGGATGCTCTGTATTTACCATAGCCTTGAAAACAACTAAGGTCAATATTGTTTGTGCCACGGTTTTATGGTGATTGGTTGTTACGTATGCGTTATTGTCCTTCTACCATGGTTTTTAGGACCTAACGAGGTTAAGGATAGCAACTATGCTGGAATTAGTAGCGCTCGGATTGGTGTTACTGGGATGGTGGGATTCCCTAAAAAGTTTCACGCAGTCCTCTACTGGAGGCGGCGGTCTTGTACTGTATCTCTTTAATGACCCCCATCTAACGTTAATAGATGAAATTTTTTTCTTCTTTCAAATACCATTACTTTTTCTTTTCACACCATTTAAGTCTGTGTTTGGAAAAAAATCGTATTATACGCATCCACAACTCTCTCTCTCTCTTATACCTCCTGTTTTGCCATATCTTAACTCACTCGACAACCCAAGGATGTATCCCGATCCACACACACACACACACACACACACACACACACACAATCTCTCTCTCTCTCTCCCCCTACTTCACTTTGGACAACCTCTTCATCATCCCCTACCCTTCTTTTCGTTCTAATCTGGTTTACCAGCTTGAACCGTGCTACCCCAATCCACCAGCCTGAGAGTCTCCACACACACCGTGCCTCCAGTAGGATGAGTCTGTATCCTATACTGGAGCATATCCGCTATATATATATATCCGTTTTGTATGCCTCCTAGCCTAGAAAAAAATTAAGAGAGTAATATTGTTGGAATAGACTTGCAATTAAATGCACCAAAAAACCCCCCCAGGTCTCGCGCTGATATTTCTCTCCCTTCTTAGGCAAAAACACATGGTACTCATTCGTAAGTTAATAATTCGATAGTAGTAGCATTCGTGTGTGATGAAAACATTGAAATGAATGTTGTATAAAGACATCTATACTAAAGCTTTTTTGCCCTCGTATATACGATAAGATATATATATATATATTTCACACGTGCAATATACATTGTTGCAATCGAGAAGTTTCAGACATCACAGGTAACCCGTACCACCTTTTTCTTTTCTCCGGTAGTGCAGAGGACGTTATCGTCGTCATCGGCGGCGGCGGCGGCGGCAGCGATAGCACACCAATTGCTCATACCGCTGAAAAAAGTTTAATCAGTAAATCCCCATTATTAATTATTAGTAAAAAATCATCGCAGCATTGCTACTCAACGAGTTAGATGAAAACCCCCCCAAGAGAGGAAATCCATATTTTGGGAAAAAACAACAACACACACACACACACTTGCCACGCATATTGTGTAACAACCACAGACACACAGACACACAGATACACAGACACAGACAAAGTTAAATTTTAGTTCTATTTTTTTAAAAAAGAAAAAAAAATTCCCGCAGATTCCGATCAACCAAGTATACATTCTTAGTCCCCTTTTGTGTGTGTGTGTGTGTCCTTTGCCACACTACTACTACTACTACTATTACTACTATAATACATACCACCCCTTAGTCCCTTTTTTTGGGCCCCCCCTCCCCAAAAAAAACCTAAACTTCTTTTATAAAGTTCAAGGCGTCCAGCCCTTTTCCCCCCCACCATCATCATCACCATCACCACCACCACGTGTCTCAAACTCTCTTTTCCCTTGCCCTCCCATAATCTCTCTCACTTTAGGTTTCGGAGCAGAGCGCAAGACCAGGGGTTGGGGTTTAGTGAGTGGGTATGTATGAGTGTGTGAGCCTAGGTCAAGGCGTCCAGGCGAGTCAGGCATTGATTGGCATGGGGGACATTGCCATTACTCGGGTATCCGTTTTTTTTTCACCCCCTCCCAACCCCCAGTTTGTGGCTGAAAAGGGAAGGTGGGCCAGTTTCAAAGAGGAAAAAAAAACAGACTAAATGATAAGCAGTAGGAGGATTAAAGGAAAAAAATAAATAAATCGCTCTTTGCCCTGCTTAGGGGAGAAGGGGGAGGGGCAGTTTTTCCTAAGAGAAAGAAAAGCGAATTAGAGCAGGGAGGTTTGGCAAGGGAGGGGAAAAAAAGAGGAATAAGCCAGATCTGGAAATGGAAGAAACAAGGTATATAGATAGCTCGATGCAAAGTCAGATTGAGTAATGCTGAATGAACAAAATATAGTATTGTAATGCAAAAGACAATTTGGCTATCAAGACCGCCAAAAAAGGGTATGTCATTAAATCCAATAAGAACGAGAAGATGGATAGCTTCTCGGAAACTTTTCTATACTATTTAAAGAAGAGAAAAACGATAGCAGTCTAACCACGGTGCAAAATAGTGTCCAGAGGATTCTTGACCCTAAAGCCCAACTTCTTGTTCATCTGCTTCTTCTCCGTCTTGTTCATAAGTCCCTTTGCCTTGATACCACGTTCCTTCCTCAGCTTCTGGAGTGCTTCTTCTGTCATTTCTTGGCGGAGCATCTGCTCGACGACTAGTGTCTTGCGGCTGCGTCGGTCACCTCGACCAATGAGAATGCCGGCAGTAATGTTGCATGTCAGACTGAAGCTGAGGATGATGGCAGTGACTTCTTTGGGCCGATTCTTGTAGTAGATTCCCCACGTAGTGCCACCAAGGGCACATTGGAACATGGAGTGGAAGTCGAGAAGGACGATAATGGTGATGAGCAGGCGAATGGAAAAGGCATGGTGCGTATATGTTTCGTGAGGCCGATAGAACGTATGCGATTTGGCCAACTTGCCCTGGTGATGTTCCAGTTTCTTTTGTTCCTCCGCAGTCAACACAGGTGTTTCTATATCTTCTTCTGTCGCTTCTCCAGTTTCCCAGGCAGAAGATGGTGGCATAGATGGCAGTTCGTTGTGATCCTTCAGATCCTTTAGGCCCCTCTCTTTGCGGATCCTCCAGGTTTTGTGCGCGTAGTAGGCGACAAAAGCCATGTGGTAAGTGTCGACAAGACGGAAGGGAAACATGGTGATTCCAACCACACAAAACAGAGCAGTAAGAATCTGGTCGGCGATTTCGACAAAATAATCTTGTCGGTGGCCGACATAGATCCAACCGATAAGAAACAGAACCCATGCTGCTCCCCAAAAGGTAATGAGGAAGAAGTACAACGTGACAATAAAGCCAAGCGGGTTGCGGACGTAGCGCCCGAAACCCTTCATGGTCCGCTTAAACTTTGCGCGTCGCGAGTGGAGGAGGTGGCGCACATGGTCATCGAGGGCTGCCTTCTCCTCGTCTGTCCATCCTGTCAAGGAGGCCCCGTGAGGGAGTACGGCATAGTGGTGACCGGGGCCTTCCTCCATAGTGGACAGAACCGAGTCGATTGAGTTTCGGCGAAGCAACTCACCATCATCGCCGCGTGCATCGCTAGTTGGTCGTCCTGCTTCGCCCGTTCGTGTCGTTTCTGCATTTTTTGCCCTCCTAGTCGTACCCATTTCTTCGTCTGATGAGTCTGAGTCAGTCTGTACCAGATCGTATGTAGGCTGGCGGTTGTAGAGCCAGGGCAGATTGGGTATAAACAGCGAGTTTTGAACATTGTTTAGTGTTGTCAGGGTGGATATTTCAGGGTCTGGGAATTGCATTAGCCTACGATAGTGAATCGTTGAGAGGCCACTAACCGATGACATCGAGTACGTCAACGACATTATCGCCCATCATGCTTTGACGGGGGGTCTTCTCGCTGCGGCGCATAAGGAAGGCTGAAGATGTCCGAGTAAGGCCTCTTCGTGGGTTACTAGTACCTTCAGCCGGCGCAGGAGCGTTGCCAGAAAAGGGGGCCGTAGCTTGTGAATCATATTCGCGCAATGGCTGTAAATGTGACGTTCCTGTCAGTTGAGGCCGCAGAGCATTGTCATTGAACATGGCTTGTGGAGGCGGGCGCGGCTCGGAACTGCTTCGCCTACGGCCACCTTGCCATGCATCGTCGACAGCTAGAGCTTGATGTGAAGAAGGAGCGGGCGCTACATCGGCCTCTGGGATAGTCTGTGAAGTGTTTGCAGGTGGGTGTGAGGATCTCTGGGTGCGGACTGAGGAACTGCGTAATCTCAGGGGATACGACGGCGCTTGGTGCACGCGCTGTGGTGCAGCCGAAGGTTGAGGCGTAGGAATGTGGGTGGTGGTGGTAACGGTAGGGTGAGTGATGGTAGTTGAACCTTCTGGAGAGTGGTGCAGCGTGGTCCCCTGTCCCGGGGTAGTGTGAGTAGTTGAGACAGTAGTAGTATGGGGGCCAGAGGTGGTAGTGGTGGTAGTAGTCGAAGTGGTGGGCGATGCCTGTGGGGGGCCTTGGTCGTCTTGCCTGGGTTCCATGGTTGCAGTAGTCACGACGGGTGTTTCCCCAGATCAAAAAAAGCGTGGGAAACAGAGGAGCCGGGCTAGGGAAGTAGAAGGGCAGATGGTTGAGTGCAGCGCTTTCTAAGCGTGCGTCTGTCCGGTCGCAACCGGCAAGAGTGAGAGCTTAGTTGATGGTTCAGTAAGCAGGCGGCGCGTGAACCCTGTGGCAGCGAGCAGGCTAGGGCGACGCTAGGAAGGGGGAGAGCAGCGTGTGCACATATGCGGATGCAAGGCGTCCTGAAAAGGGTGTAGACAAAGGATTTAAGGGAGTCGGCATGTATGTGGTCTTTGTAGTGGTGTGGCTGGAGGATGGGCGGCAGCGTATACGGGTAGGGCTCGCCACAGCCACTCCGCGACGGCCGGCGCCCGGACCAAAGAGCAGCCGGAAACTTTGCGTCATAAACACGCTGGCCGTGCGGGGTGTGCAAATATTGTTTTTGCACAGTCACAGTGCCGCCAGCTACTGGGGGTAGTGTAGATCCATAAGCACATGTACTCATATTACTGCTTGATTACATCTACGACGCATCCCATGTATATATAAACACGCGCTGTAACGTGATGTGCCGCCAGAAGATAAACGAGCCGTCACCCTGGTCATGTGCTAGCGTGCCAGCGTCCCGCATCCTCCATGGGCTCTAGTCTAGCCTTGACAGCATACTCGTACTGTACATATGCATACAAGCAGCAAGCTACGGCAGCCGAAGACGCGACATATGCTCTCGGTTGGCTGGTCCAGTCGGAGACAAGATTGCCCAACACTCCCAGTATGACTATGCTTGTCATCCACTTGGGCATCGTCAACACCAAGTCAGCGTATCCATCTAGTCGAGATTCTATGAAAAATCGTATTACGCTGGTGCTGATATCTCGTAGGAACGGATGCTCGTTTTGGTGGGCTAGCCCGCTTGGCCTGGGTTTTCCAGTTCCACCGATCGACCGAGACCGAGAGGCATGGCCATTTTCTCCGCAGTCATGTGCTAGGATGGTGTATTACTACGAACCCCCTAATGTGTACATGTAATCCACGGCACCTCTGTGCTTATGCCGCCGCTCCATGCTTTCTCTCAAAGCCCACCATCTCGCCAGAAATCCACAGGCGAGGCGAGTGTTTACCAAATGCGGCAAGCTTGCGATAGGGCTGAGACGCGTCTCTGCCTTGGCCCGTCACGCTTTGGCCAATGCTGTGACGCAACAGTCCCACGCCTGCTGTCCCCATCTGTGCCTGAAACAGGCCCGCCTTTGCGCCTCAACATTTATAGTACTCAGGCCCTCTCTTCCCACCTATCGCCATTACATCCCACCTCTCTCCACTATGAAGCCCATTCACGCCCTCTTGCCGGGCCTTATGGCTGTCAGCCATGTTGCTGCGGCACCCCAGCAGGCTGTCCTTGACGCGTTGTCCAAACCATCCACCAAGCCTGTAGGAGTCGGCCACTTCAGCGAATGGAGCCGCCAGACCAAGAAGGAGTTTTTGATCGATTGGCAAGCTGGAAAAGAGTCGGAATGGATTTTGGTCCAGGGCAATGAGGGCGGTGACATGGACTCGATGACTGCAGCTCTGACCTGGGCATACCACCTCGAACATGCCACCATGAACACCTCCAACCCTCTCAAGGCCATTGCCCTGCTGCAGACCCCGTCCCATGCCCTTGATCTGAGGCCCGAGAACAAGCTGGCCCTGGACAATTCGCAAATGACGCCTGGCCACGAGGACCTACTGACACTGGACGAACTGCCCGAAGATCCAGAGACATTGAGCACCAAGCTCAAGGGCATTGTCCTCGTCGACCACTCGGAACCCCTCAAGAAATGGTCAGCCGCCAAGATTCTGAGTATTTTTGACCACCACAAAGACCGTGGTACCGCGCCAGACGCTGATCCCCGTGTCTTTGAGACGGCGGCGAGTTGCACAACCCTCGTCGCCCGTCAAATGCTCGACGAGTTGGAGAAGCTGGACGAAGAATACCACATGCCACACGAGCTCCTCGAACTCATTCTCAGCGCCATTGCCATTGACTCTGGCGGCCTCACAGGCGACAAGACCACCAAAGCCGACATTGAGATTTCCAAGCGCATCCTCGCACGCAGCAACTGGAGGGACGACGACCTCAAAGACGTCATGGAGGACCTCGACGACGAGCTCACCAAAGCCCAAAAGGACATTGACAACCTCGGCCTCTACGACCTCCTCCGCCGCGACTGGAAGTCCGACGCGATCGACACGCCTTCTCCACGCACTCCCGCCATAAGCGTCGGCTTCGCATCCATCCCTTACTCCATGGACGAGCAAATCCTCAAGACGGAGTTCCAAGAGCTATTCGGTACGTTTTCAATTACCCCTCCCCCCTTTTTTTACCACCCCCAAAAAGTCTCAGAACTAACAATTTTTTGCAATAGACTGGTTCGCCATCCACGCTGCCTGGACCGCCCAAGCCAACGTCGATGTCTCCGTCTCAATCAACAAGTACAAGAAGCACTACAAAGACGGCTCCAAGGAGAAAATCAGGGAAATCGTACTTGTTGTCCGCGACGATGTCCGGATTGATCAGGACCAAGCAAATTCGCTCTTCGAGCTTGTCAAGGACGCCATTGAAAATAACAATGAGGGAGTTGATTTCCAGCCGTGGCACAGGGCGGATGAGTTGGCGCCGAGACAGATGGTTTGGCAGCATAGATCGGATGCGGGTAGGAAGGTCATTAAGCCGCTTGTCGAGGAAGCTATCATGGAATGGGACTGAAAGAAAGGAAAACGCGTCTGGGAGATGGAGGACTTGCAAAGTTACCCTGTTGTCATCATCATCGCTGTATACCTATGTGTATTGTCTTTGGAGGCCTCTGGATTAGGCTTATCAAATACCACGATTATTGCTATGACGAAAAATGAGAACTTGATATCATGATTCATGTCTCTCTCTCTTATGCTACGTGAGCAGAGCCTTCATCGCTATGCAAAACAACAGTGTCCATCAAAATGAGCAAAGCCTCCATCGCTATGCAAAATTGAACGGCCGGACAAAATCCAAAAAAACAAACAAACAAGAAAAACAAAACTTATACACGGTGCGAAGCGAACCTCACATTACCCCCCAATCCCAGCAAGATATATATCTCCTCAAGCCCGGCTGTGTTCCGGAAACTCCACCCCGTGAGAGCCTTCCCTTGCAGGCGGCTGGAACTCGAACGGGGGATCGATTCCTTCATTCAAGCCAAATGGCGAGGTGAAATAAACTACTGGAGTGGGTCGTGATGATGTGAAAGTCGAAGTGAAAAAAAACCGGATATTCAGAAATCCAGATATTCAAAAGCCCAGGAATCCTGGAAAAACAATAACAATCGAAAAAAAAACTTTATAAAAAAAGCGCCGCCCAGATGCCGGAAAAAAACGAGAGGGGGTATCACATCATTCCAAACGCCAAAATTAACATATGCTGCGTAACCATATCCGTCTAAGGGCGCTACCGGGGGCGGACGCTACGCGCAGCAGGAGCGGGCTTGCGCGCGTTGGCTGCATTGTTCTTGGGAGAGAGTACATGGCCGCCCGCAGCAGGCTTGGTGCGAGATCCAGCCCGAGTCGAACGTGTGGTGCCAGTGCTTGTCGTCGTCTTGTCGGCCTTTTCAGGTTTCTCGGCTGCGGCCTTGGGAGCAACATTTCTAGTGCGCTTCTTGGGCACAGGCAATTCAGAGTTTTCCTTGTCCTCGCCAGACATTTCGTCGCTGCTGCGCTTCTTGGCTCGGGCCGTCTTTGTTGCTTTGGCATATGTAGGGACAGTCTTGGTATTGGTAGTCTTGGTGTTGGAAGTGGACTTGATGCGCACTTCTGGCGAGGATGCGGGTCGTGAGGAAGGCGCGCTGGGTACAGCATTGCGAGGTTTGCGGCCAGCAGTGCCAGTACCGGCTGTTTTCTTGGTGGCGGCAGTAGCGGTAGTCGCTGTTGTTGCGATGGCGGTTGTAGTTGTGACCTTGGTTGTTGTGGCAGGCGCGGTGATGAGTTGTATTGGTGCTGATGCCTTGAGGAGGTTGGCGAGTGTGGTTTGGCGCGTCACGACCGGGATGCGGTTGACGCGTCGCTCGAGGCGCGACTGCATACTGGCGCACTGAGCCTCGCATTGGGCTCGTAGCTTCTCAATGCGCGAGTTGAGTTCGATTTGGAGGTTTGCAAGCATATTGGCCTTGGCCTCAGCTGTAAGTCCGCTGGCAATGTTGTTCATGATGATGTTGGAGGTGACGCGTGAACAGCCACCAGGTTAATGGCGGTAAAGGGTATGAAGAGAAGTCTTCAGAAAATTCCTTAGAGTCTCGGAGAGACCTTTTGGTAGTCCTAAGAAGCCTTGGTGTCGTCGTTGCGATTGAAGCTGTGTACTTCAGGTGCTGGGTCCAGAGAGTAAACAACGCGTACTAGGCCGCGACGCTGACAATGGAAGAGCAGATAGAAGCTGAGAAAAAACGTCGCGAGGCTATCTGGTACCTTTTACAGCAGCTGAGAGAGTTTTCGGGCTCTTCTGGTGTGGCTGTGGGTGGTGTGGGTTGCGGCTTCTGTCTGGTGTGGGATGGTGGAGGAAGGAAGGATGGACAGTTGGGGGGTTTTGTACTTATACTTACGCCAAGGTTGCGAGTTACCTCCAGGCTTCACATATCATGAAATAATAATAATTACGACATTGGTGCTTTAGCGAACACCAAGTGAGTCACTTTCAACAACAAAATAACCGCAACACAGCGCTGCATAGCAGCGCGCAATTCACGATATCTCAAAATACACGAGTCAGGTTTCAATCACCTGCATCGAGATATGAGTCATTTCTCATGGTATAGTCGCGCACGATCTCCCGCTGTCTCTCGTCCACACGTGACGTCGGGGGTTTACTCGCCAGCCTCCGGTCTCCGCTGCGGCGACCTAAGCTCAGCAGCATACCGTAACCGTCGATCTAATCAACTACCCCAAACTATCACTTCGACACCTAGGACAAATCACATTCAAGATGGTGTTAGAAGCCTCCATGATAGTGTATGTTTGCTTCCAGACTCCACACGTGCCTTTCCTTACTAACATTCGCAGTGTTGACAACAGCGAAGCTAGTCGAAACGGTGATTATGTACCCTCGCGATGGGAAGCGCAACAGGATGCTGTCAACATGATCTTCTCCGCGAAGACTGGAGCAAACCCAGAGTCTTCTGTGGGATTGATGAGCATGGGAGGCAACACTCCTGAGATCCTCACGACTCTAACAACGGACATTGGCAAGGTGCTTGATGGACTGCACAGGACAAAGATAAAGGGTAGCTCACATTTCGTCACTGGCATCAACGTGGCGGCGGTACGTTTCTCTGCAACATTGGAAGATATCACTTCTGACTAGGGCGCGCAGCTGGCTCTCAAGCATAGGCAGAACAAGTCACAGAAGCAGAGAATAGTCATATTCAACTGCAGTCCCATCGAGGAAGAAGAGAAGAACCTGGTGAAGTTGGCGAAGAAGATGAAGAAGAGCGGTATCAGCATTGATATCATCGCGTTCGGCGAACTCAGTGACGACACCACGCGGAAACTCCAGGCCTTCAGCGACAACGTACAGAGCGCCGAAGGCTCCTACCTAGCCATCATCCCACCCAGCGCAAACCTCCTCAGCGATTCTTTGATTACCACACCTATTGTCGGTGGAGAGGGCGCGTCCAATGCTGGGGGCGAGGGCGGTTCTGGAGGTGGTGGCGGTGGTGCATCAGGCGGCAACGACTTCGAGTTCGGTGTAGATCCTTCGGTCGACCCGGAACTTGCACTTGCGCTCAGGATGTCTTTCGAAGAAGAGAAGGCACGACAAGAGAAGGACAAGAAGGCAAAGGAGGCTGCGGAGGGCAAATCGGAGCTAGAGCCGGTTGCTGAGGGTGATGAGAAGCAACCATTGCTAGATGATCAGGGCCAGCCTAGTGGAAGTGGAAGCAAGAACAAAAAGGACGATGACGCAGACAAGATGGACACAGCATGAGCCAGAGTAAGCGTGGCACGGCGTCAAGGTGCGTTTGGCATAGCTTCCGTATGGAGCCTTTATACCGGGCAGAGCATCTACGGCGTCTACTGTATGACTAGAGCTAGTGTCTACCACATCTGACACAGATGGATGAATGAAAGAAATAATGACCTTGCCAGTCTGCTTAACCTGACATGATCGTGTGTCTTGTCTATTGATCATTCGTGTCCCTTGAGCCCGGCTATCCCTATCCAAACGACGCTTCAATGACGTCGACGTCCGTTACAACTGCAGGAGGAGCCATTGAGAATCGTCTGTCTTTGAAGGTGCTGTTCTCAAGCTCAACAGTCTTTCCACAATCGCCGCGCTCCTTGATGCACGCTATGCATGCAACACGGGCGTGCGAGCTGGGCGTTTCCCACATAGCCATGTATATCAATTGCGGCTATATGCCATGACCAGCCCCTCATTCCGCGATCGTCATGTCCCTCTTGTAGACTGTGCTGCCCTCACCCTCTCACCTTCACAAATCCATCCAACCCTCGATCGAACTTGTCGCATCGGATAGGCATTTCCACGGTGTAGAATGGGTTCTTCATTACGTAGTCGGCATACAACTCATATATCTTCTTTATCATTGTATCCACGTTTGGTTGTTGCGGCTCGGTGAAGAGTAGAAACTTTACTCCGGTTTGTGTTTGGAAACATTGGATGCGGAAGTGGGAGCTCTCGAGCACTTCGATACCGGTAGCGCGGACAGGGAAGGTTTGCAGATTTGGGGTGGTGGTTGAGGGAGGGGGTGCGCGAGCGGGTGGCACAGGAGAGAGTTGGGCAGTTATGGCGTGCATACTGGAGCGGGGTCAGCAGAGTCGTGATTGCGCTTGTAATAGGGCTAACCCATGGAAGGACCCAGCAAGCATTAGGTAGTCATTGCTGGTGAGCTTGTTCATGCCCGTATGAAACTCGCGGTTGTAGATGAGGCCACCCGACTTGCTCACAATGAAGAGCGCAAAGACAACCCTGTGACCGTTAGCTAAAACGATATGATACAAGGCCTGAGGCATACATGTTGCAGACGCAGCCTTATTTGCTGGCTATCGCGACAACTGGAGCGTGGTGTTGCGGCTTGGGTTCCGTGAGCGGTGACGGATTCTGCCCCTCCGCATGCATCTCCCTGCAACCCGAGCTACTAGGGCTTCGTTACCCATGCCTACCTTGACACCGTAACGATCTACGGCCTTCCTGCAAGTTCTTTTACTGCTGTCGGCTGGGAGTACAAGGTCGCCCACATAGTACTTTGTTTTCTCCTCACGTTCTTCTGAACCACACCTCCAACGACGTCGCGAAACCAAGCAAACGAACCCACAAGGCTGTTGAATCTTGCGGGATTTGCGCATTTGACTGCCGATACGGTAGCCTAGAGGTACCTGAGCGACTGCTTGTCGGCTGTCAGTCACTTTGCCCAATAACGACTTTCAGACCGTTTGATCAGCTGTCTCCTCTAGGCCGTCACTAAGCCCGCCGACCCCGCGCCTCCAGCCCGCACAACCTATTCACGTACGAGACCCTAGTAGAGACGTTGCCACGGGACCATGTCGAATCAGTGTATTCTCAGAATCACCCGCGAATTGGGCGAGATCCAGCGCGGATCCGACCTCTCAATAGCCGTCGCCTGCCGCGACATCGATGTGCGCCATGTGCGGGCACTGATCATAGGCCCGCCTGATACCCCATACGAGTTTGGTTTCTTCGAATTTGCCGTCAAGTTCACTCGAGACTATCCAACCAAAGCACCAAGTGTAACAGCTATAACTACAAATGGCGGGCGCACGCGCTTCAATCCCAACATCTACGCAGGCGGAAAGGTGTGCCTGTCAATTCTTGGGTCAGCAAAACCACGTTCTCTACCTATTCCAAAACTTACATGATTCAGCACATGGCGAGGCGAGCGAGGCGAGGAGTGGTCATCTGCACAAGGCCTCGAGTCAATCCTGATCTCCATCCAGAGCCTCATGTCTGGAAACCCGTACGAGAACGAGCCCGGATTTGAAGACGCAAACTCCGACTACGACAAGAAGAACCAAGAAGCATACGTAGACAAGATTCGACACGAGTCTTTACGCATATCTGTTATTGAACGGCTTGAGGAATACCTAGGCATCAACCGACAGAGGCCTGGCGTGACAATCTACAACGCTGAAGAAGACTACCAATCCAACAGAGACGATGCGCCGTTCGAGCCTTTCAAAGATCTCTGCAAGCGACGTTTTCTGTGGTACTACCAGTCCTATCTCACTCGGGTAGACGAAGCGGTCAAGCAGAACAAAGACGGAGATCGCTTTGAGAAGATGCCATTCGAAGGTCCAGGAAATACCATGGAGGGTATCTTCCAATACACGTCTCTGCGGGAGCGTCTCGTCAAGATTTTCGAGACGCTCAACAAGGAAATGGAATCTTGGGCTTTGGAAGGCATGTCGGCTGTTAAGAAAGAGATGAGCATTGCCAACAACCTTCAGCGGCAATATGAACAGATTGTCGAGAAATACAAGAAGCAAGATGCAATCGCATTGGACCTCGACTTGGTTGACAAGAACCCATTCGTATGGCAGCTGGTGCTCTTTGGTCGGCCAATGACAAACCTCGACGGTGGCATGTTCAGGATCAGGCTATACATCAGCCCCAAGTTCCCAGATGTCCTACCTCGAGTCCGGTTCGAGACACCAATCTTATACCACCATCGCGTGTCCCCTGACGGCATTCTCTGTTACGACGCTGCTCGCAAAGACGATATGCGATCCCACATTGAGGCTATCATTGCAGCTATCGAGGAGGAATCCCCCGCGTACGACCCACGCACGTTGGTAAATCCCGAGGCTGCAAAGCTCTTCTGGGGAAGTCCAGAAGATAAGAAGCTTTACAACCGTCGCTTGAGGCGGTCCGCGCAAGATAGCGCTGAGTAGGTCCCCCAATTATCCTTTTCTAGCCATGTGCTGATCAAGACATAGAAATTTCTTCTAAGTTCAAAAAGAGGGTTATGCGGATGACGATTTAACGGCCGACCGCATTAGTTATGATCTTACATGATACCCCAAGTCTGATCCAGGCTTGCATTATACGGCGTTTGTGGGCTCTACTAGGCATCGTAGTATGAAGGATGACCACCTCGAAATATGGCGTTAGTTAACCAATGGTGGTACAATTTATCATGAATACATCGAGTTCTTGCATGGGCGCACATGTGCGCGTATATGCATCTATATGGGTTACAGGCATTGAACAAAAGCCAGATGATGCGAACCAATTCTGTACGTGCAAAATCCACCTCATACTTTTAAATATGGTACATTTATCTTCTCGAAGTGCGTTCGCGAGAGCATGATTCAAAGAATGATGTAAATGCTGAAGATCGTAAAGACTCGTCCAGGTGTAGAGCACGGCCGGACTAAGACCGTCCGGACCCTGAGCAGCATGCAGGGACTGCCAATCCATGCAATAATACCCCTGGGCGGAAATAGATCCCCGACCTCTCCGCAAACAAACCTTAATCCCCGTACCGTCTCTTTCGCCATTACCACACATCGTCCACAATGTCGCGTGCGGAAGAAATACAATCTCTCGGAAAGGTCCTCGTTGTTGGCGGGTGCGGCTTCCTAGGCAGTCATATTGTCAGCTTCATTGTGAAGCGTCACCCACAAACACAGATTGCAGTCCTTGATTTGCGGACCACCTCAAATCGCCATGCCAGTCCGACCGTCTCCTACCACGATGGCGACATCACCGATGCTGCTGCAATGAAGACTCTGTTTTCCCAGGTCAAGCCCCACGCGGTCATTCACACAGCCTCTCCACACTTCGACCTGAAGCCTGAGATCCACGACAAGGTCAATGTTGGAGGAACTAAGGTCTTGCTGCAAGCGGCGCAAGAAGCTGGAGTCAAGGCCTTTGTCTACACAAGTTCAGCAAGTGTGATTCTCGACCCTACGACAGAGCTCATCAATGCGGACGAAAGGTGGCCTCTTGTCACTGGTGCTGACCAGCCCGAATACTACACCACTACTAAAGTAAGCGGACATTCTTTATTTACTTGTCATCGCTAACCCGTACATGTAGGCCTATGCAGAGACCGCCGTGCTCCAAGCGAACCGCAACCCCGAAAACTTCCTGACCTGCGCTATCCGTCCTGCGGGCATCTTCGGCGAGGGCGATGTTCAATTGCTTCCCAAGATGGTCGCCGCGTGCCGCAAAGGACAAACCAAGTTCCAGGTCGGCGACAACACAAACTTGTTCGACTTTACATATGTCGAGAATGTCGCCCATGGTCATATCCTCGCTGTTTTAGCTCTCCTTCATACCCACAAAGTTCTACCCACTATCCCTCTGGACACAGAGCGTGTGGATGGTGAGGCCTTCTTCATCACCAATGGCCAGCCTGTTTACTTTTGGGACTTTGCGCGCAAAGTCTGGCATGAGGCAGGTGACCGCGTGCCCTTGAGCAGCGTCTGGCATCTTAGCGCTGACTTTGCATGGGCCATTGGTGCGGTCTTGGAGAATGTGTTCTGGCTCATGGGCAAGAAACCAAACCTGACCCGGGCTCAAGTAAAGTACAGCAGCATGTCCAAATATCACAGCATTAACAAGGCAAAGCAGCGACTGGGCTATGAGCCGCTTGTTGATCTTGACGAGGGTATCAAGAGAGGTGTGCAATACATTTTGGAGCAGGAAAGGAAAGCAGAAGAGAAGAAGGGGCAGTAGATGCGATTTGAATACGCTGAAGGAGGTCACGAACAACGTTTCTGAGTAAATTTGATTTCATGTCACAGTTGATGGCATTATTGCATGCAGCCGAAGTAGTACATAATACATATAATTGCGCCGTATGGCTCCGAGCGAGATGCATCAGGAAGACTGGATGTAGTTAGAATCTCCCAGGCGGACCCACTCTTGTCTTGGTTAAGTCAACTTTGTCGCGCGCAAGCTCATTGACTTACTAGCAACCCCACGTCCATCCCCGCCACCATGGAGTGTAAGCACGAAGTATGTCGCGCCCGCTACTTCCCGAGTCAGCATACGAAGCGCTCGGTCTGTCTCCTGAAGCGCTCAAAGACCTGATGAATCCCAAGCCTGCGCCGGAGCCCACCAAGGTTCACGCCCCAAATCTGCTACAGAGCGACGAGGATAATACGCGCCCCATGTTGCCCAACGAAACGTCGATAACGCTGTACGCCGAACTCTTGTTGCATATCCGTACGGTAACGCTCTTTGCATCGCTGCGCACAAATCACTCGCGGCAGACAGACGCGAAGCTGTCTGCCGATGGCTCCTACATCACCGTGTCTCATGAGGGAGAGTCAGCGACGATACGTCTGCCGATCAATGTCAAGGGTGCTGGCGATGCCGCACTCGAATTACCGTCGCGTCCTCCAAGCAAGGAGCTGACGCTACGCCTGCAACTGGAAGAGAAGGAAGGAAGTGATCTTTTGGGTGCTCTGCAACGCCAAGACCGACAGGCTAACATTGTGCCTTGGGACGGTGCCTCGCTGAACCGCGCGGAGGATGTAGAGATACTGTGCAAAAACTGTGAAGGCGTTGTTGTGCCAAAGGGGAAAATTCAGCAGTGGAAAGATTTGCCTAATGAGAATTGGGCTGAGATGATGGATTTCTGGCACTGCCACAAACCAGATGAGCATCATTTACACAATCACACGCATGAACATGCGATTGGACAAAAGGGCTACGCGGCTGCCAACCGTCTGCAGGCCAAGGAAGGGGTAGGCTTTGTGGATCTTGCAAGTTTCCTCCTTGCGGAATCTGATTGTGTGGGCGTGCAGGTAAGCCCATAGCTTTCCCCTGCTTTTCTTGATTCGTGCGCTCGTATGTTCTTATTTCACTGTACGCACGTCGGGGCGCAAAGAAGGCGATATCGCCTTTTCCCGTGGCACTATCGTTGATACAAGCGCCCCAGAGCAATAGGCTCATACACAGTCTCTTGGTTCCGGATATACCCTCTCCTTTCAAGGTTGATGGGTTGCTGGTTCCGTGGAGACAGCGGCCTGGCGTTTCACTGTCTCTATACCCTTTGGCCATTGGGATTGACAGGTTTAGCCAAGGCTACATGACCTTTCTTCATACACATTGATATCCCTTTTCTTCTTTGTGTGGTACTAACACTTCATAGCTATCTACAGAAGAGAACAAAGAAGAAGAAAAACCGCACTCAATCCTCTGCAAACACTGCACCCAACCCCTCGGCATCCAAGACCCCCTCACAAACGGCTGGCGCATTCACAAATGGCGCTTGACCCTAACTTCCAAGCTCTCCAACGTCCCACCTTTCTTCAGCTCTCCCCAAAAATGGATCTCAGCCCGTCTCCTCTACCTAATCGAAAACAACGCGGTCCGCAAATTCCACATCCATACCCCTATCCCTTCCCCATCAAACAACACAAAAGTAAAACCCACACCCTCCATCCTCATATGGGTCTTCACCCCCGACCTCCTCTTCTCCTCTTCCATCCCCTCCCCAAACCGCTTCGACCCCACGCGCTGCATGAAAATCTTCTACAAGCGTCAAACCTGGCAACCCTTTCAACCCGGCGACGCCGAGAGCGCGAGTATAGAAGACGTAGAGTTTTCCAAAGACTTATACGACGAGTTGGATCGAGCGTTGCAACAGGGTCGGCGGTTGTTGCCACCGACGGCGAAGAAATTTCAGGGGTGGGATGTTGGGCTTTTGGAGCGGTTTGAGGTTGTGGAGGGGGGCATGGGGTGGGTTGGAGAGGAAGAGAAGGACGAGGAGAATGAGTGGGGGATTCCTTCTGAGCCTGTTGATTGAATAGATGAATAGATGATTAAATGATCACATGCTACATTTGACATGTCTCTCTCTTCTTTTTCACGAAAAGTCTAGTTTCACACCCGTATTTTGGTACACTTGGTTACATATCGCGTTGGCCACCCCCCCCCTTCCCCATGCAGAACGTAGCGCAGCGCAGCGCAGCACAGCCAGCCCACTCGCAGCAACCCAGTAGTACCAGTGACGTACCACCTCATATTACTTACCAACTACCCCACATTTCCTCTTATCACCTCCCTCCCCCCATGTGCATGCCCGAGTGTTCCAGACTCTCTCCCATTTCCCAAACAACCAGTGACGCACAATTTCACATGCTTTCTCACAACCACCACTACCACCACCCTGTCTGCACCTAACTCACGCAGACATGCAATAAGTGGGGTGGGGCTATCGGCATTCTCCATGGTTATGTACATAGCTGCATATGCATCGCCACCACAATCACACCGATCTAGCGTGTTAGCGCTGACTCACACCATGCAATAACCATGTAAAGTTGCAACCATGGCATTTTTTGTACTACCCTTACTCAGCCCCAAAGAGGCACGGTGGGTAGCGCGGACCGGATGACGAAAGAATGAGAGAGGTAGGGGAGGAAGAAAAAGAGAGAGAGAGAGAGGGCAAGTGAGAATATTGTTTGTTTGTTTGGTTTTGTTTGATTATTTCGTATTTCTATATCCTACACTATCTGATGATCTCTACCACAGCCTTGAAAACTCCGTATGAAGGGGTGGACAATCAAATAAGGGGGGAGATCCAAATCAGTCGCAAAGAAGGTGAAACAAAGCCCGCTCGCCATTTAAACAAAGATCATTTGTTTTTTTGTGAGGATTTTTTTCTCTTTGGTATTTTTTTGTCCCATGGATGGAGTGGGATAAAAAAAAAGAGGAAGATAAGATAATACGCGTTGATAAATAAACAGGAGTGAGAGGGATGAACACAATCCTAAATTCCAGGTTCCGATGGGACTTCCCACCCTGATCCACCTCTTTTGTCGTAAACAATCATGAGCGCTAGTTGCTAAAACGATGAGAAACGCCAGCTCGGGGGAATGAATCTGCTCCAACGTACAAAGGCAAAAAACTTGCAGAGAAAATGGCTACACAAATGCGTGATAGGCGTATACAAAGTACCACAGGATTTACTGCGTGCTCATGAAATTCATGTAGTTGAGATCATCCAACGTAGTGGTGGGCTCTGGACAAAAATCATCAAATTGTCCTCCAACCTGGTTAAACTCTGGGAAGAAGTTTGTTGTGTTGTTGAATGCCATTGTGCTAGGTGGGGAGGCGTCGAACAAAGTAAAGTCCTCGCCCGGAAGGTTGAAACATTGGTTCATATCCATGTCGCCAAAACCTTCGTCCATGTGTGGTGAGAAGAGTGTCACATCGGGCTGAGCCAGTGGAGAAAGCTGAGGATAGCCGTTGTTCATTTGGTTATTCGTTGTGAACTGGAGTGGCTCAAAATCAAACGTAGTGCTCATAGGCGTTGGCTGTTGGAAGCCAGTGTTAACGTTTGTGTCGAGGTTGCACATGTTGTACACATCGTTGTGGTTTACACCAACATCCTCGGGAGTCACGACTGCGTCGTTGAAAGATGTGGGCTCAATGGGTGAGTGTCCAGACGAGTAAGTAAAGTGAGAACCGTTGGTAGCAATAGAGTCACGACGGAAGTCACCCTGGTAACCGTTTGCGCTCATTGCCGGTGTTCCAAAGCCAAAGTCCATCATAGGCACTTGAGGCGAGGGAATAAATGGCGTCACTGGTGTAGCCATGGTTGCAGACATGGGTGTGCCAATGAAGGGCGTGAGAGGGGTTGCGGGGCTGCGGTTGTTGCTTGAAGGAGCCTTCTTGCGACCGTTGCTCTTGGAGCGAACGTATTCCCAGCCGTGTGCCTTCTCCATGTGTTGCTTGCAGTTGGATTCACGCTTTGAGGCGTATGTGCATGGAGGGTAAAGACACTTGTATTGTGCGGGGGCAGCAGAGTGCTTGTCGTTCATGTGTCGGTCGCGTTCCTTCTCCGTTGGCCAGCCAAGATCAAAGTATTTGCAGTTCCTCTCAGAGCACTTCCACGGACGAGAATGGGTCTTCTCGTGTTTGGTCAGGTCGCATGGGCGTTTGAACTCCTTGTTGCAGTCACGGCAAGCATGAATGACATCACCTGGTTTCTCAGACTTGCGTCGTCGGGCCATGGAGCGGGTAACCTCGTCGCCGTCCATGTCGTCATCAACGTCGGCATCCGACAGACGACGCTTGATCCTGAAAGTCTTTGCGGCATCCTCGTCAATGGAGATGACCTTTCCGTTCTTCTCCCGGACGAGTTCAACAGGACGACCGTTGTGGCTAAGGCCACCACGGAGCGTGATCTTCTCATCGCTGTGGAAGGCTTTGTCAGTGCGGGAAAACAGAAAGGCGGCTGCGCGGTCATACCGTGAGTAGTCCATGTCGTCGAGGTCTTCGCCTTTGGATTCCTTTTCGCGGGTGGCGGCCATGATTGAAGCGTATCGTCTAATCTGTTCCATCAAGTCGAGGAAGTAGCCGTCAGTATAAGGGCGGTCGGTTGGTAGTCGCTGGTCTTGCTCGGAAAGGTACTGGACAGTCGTGGCCAAGAGCTGGATTGATCGTTCACAGAATCGGGAGTATTTGTCCGGTGTTGCCGAGAGCTCCTTTAAACCGCGAAGAATGCAATAAGCTTTTGCACTCCCAGAAAGACATCGAATATCACTTACCGGTGCCAAGAAGATGAGAGTCTTCTCGAGATCGCGAAGGTTGCGGATGTTCTTCTCACCTATGCGTCGGGGGACGTCTTTAATAAGTTCGTGGAAGTCCTTCAAGGACTCCTCGGCAAGAATGGGCTTGACAATGCTGTCGTGGATCTGCTTGCACGCGTACTCGCCGAGGACGTGGCCTTCGTCAGACGCACCCAGGGCGGAGAATGAGCGCGTGACAGCAGAGTGGGTTGAGCTGATTGAGGTGCTGATGGATTCACGGGTGCTGGAGCGTCGGGAGCGGATGTCGTCTTTATGTATGTTAGAAAATGGGGCGTCCTGGTCTAGCATGGGTGGCTGCAGTGACTTCTTACCGTATCTCGATCCGCTAACGCTGGAACCAAGACCGCTGTCAGAAGCGTGGTCGTGGGGGCTGTGGTCTTGTGCAGACGGCTTGGAGTCAATGTCCATGGGTGTGTGGTCCAATACGGTGTTGTCTAGGAACAAGCTCGGGACAGGGAACACCTCAGGGTCGCTGAGGATGTTGGAGGAGGTGGAGGAGCCTTTTTGACCGGCAATCTTGGCCTCGATGTCGTTGAGCAGGTTGGTAACACGGCGGACACTGGGATCCTGGATGGACTCTTGGACAAGCTGTTCGAGTCGCTCAGTGTTAGTGGGCGAGCGCCGGGGCACAAAGTGTCGGTCCAGATCACAGATGTCGGATGATATGTGGGTTGGCGACGAGAATGTACCGCTTTTGCGAAGCTGCATGGCATGGGTGCTAAGAGGGGAGGCCCCGCCCTTAAGTGGACGCCGCCGGGGATGGCGGTTCTGGTCGTGGGGTGCAGACATGTCGGGTATGACTGGTTGAAGGACCGGTGGGAGGGGAAGAGGCGGCCTCAGGCTTATGAGTCACGGACTGTCACGGACTGGCACGGTTCCCCAGAGGCCAGGGATCCAACAGTCCAAGTGAAAGTGAATGACAAAGCCGAAATCACGTTGTCATGAACTAGTGACGGTGGGACCTCGAGTGGAAGGGAAGCAGATGATAGGCCCGAGGGAAGAAGGCAATGAGGTAGTGGTGAGAGAGGGAAGGGCGCCGGAGAGTTGGAGGAGCAGTGGTAGTGCAGTATATAGGAAGGCGCAGCAGCCAGACTAGCACGAGCGGTGGGCGGCGGGCGGCAAAGATGCAAAAAGGGCGGCGATGGTGCAAAAGGGACAAGGAGCACTGGGGCGGAGGAGGGAGGCCTGAGGTGTCGAGGTTGAAAGTGGAGGAAGAATCAAGGCATTGGGGGGAGGGGGGTATAGGTGGTAGTAAAAGAGAAGCGTCGACTATGAGCTTTGGTGTCGCTGTTGCCTACGCCAAGGCTTGCACGTCCCCACAGCCGATGCGCCACAATGGCCTCTAGTCCCGGATCAATACGAGTTCAACCCAGAAGACTGCCCGCTACTCGCCCACGACGGCCGTCATTCGCAACCTCTCAGTCCTTTCTTTCACCTGCAGCGCCGGGCATGTGCAGTAGCGTCACCAAGTGTGCAATTGTCGAGCACTACGAGCTGTCAAGCCAGAGCATCCACGGACACAGAGGCCACGCCAAGGCTACCGGTCAGCCCCAAGCAGCGCAGGAACGGGTGTTAGTGCGAGCCCTTCACACGCTCACGCTGCAAGGCGTCCAGGCTGTGCATGGATAAAGTCATCTCGCCATCCTCGCAGCTCGCCCTCGTCACCATTTCTGGTCCGCCGACTGCTGGTGATAAAACCCGCCGCCCCGCGACCTGCAACTTGCACAAATGCGCAGCTCCACCCGATCCGCAATTCCCCTAGTCGCATGCTCGTACAGCACCCGTGTCGTCGCGCTTCTCGTCGCCCGCAGGGCCGTCATGTTCTGGCTCCACGCAGACACAGATACGTATGCAACACGACCTGATTGGCCCGTCTCTGCCTCAAGCTATTCACCGGTATCGTGTGGGGGCCGAAACATTCGTCAACCTGCAGGTCATGTTTAGGGCTGCGCATGCAGGGCAGACGACCATTATCGATTTCGAGGCTGGCACGCCTTTGGACGGACGAAGACGCGCAACGCCGGCTTCCGCGGAGCCACACAGGCCACTCCCACCACGTACATACTTACACCCTATCCATCACACTCACTATCAATACAGCTTGCCCCCCCCCCTTCTCGTCTCCTCTTCAACGCTTCTTGCACCCGCTCTTCCAACCACGTTACCCGGGCGTTCTCATCCCATCGCCTCCACCTTCTGAAATCTAACTCTCGGCACAGTTCCCTGACAACCTCCACTTTGCGTGTCATCTCAATCTCCCCTTTCATCGCACTGGCAACCTCGTCCTCGCATGGCTGCCTCATCTTTTGCCCTGTCGTACAATTCTCAACATACTCCTTCTTCTCCATGAACCACATCGTGCTGGGGTAGCCAAATTGTTCGATTGTGAAGTCTGCAATGTACTCTTCACCCGACCTGGTCGTGATGCTAAAGACACTATGCCGTACCTTTAGCTGAAGTGGATTGCTGTACCAGTGGAAGAGTAGGAGCGGCTTCGCGTCCACCGCAAACCACTCAATCTTTGCATTCACCTCTCCGAGACAGCGCAAGAAATGGCCAAGAAACAGCCGGATGCTATAGTCGCAGTGGTTGTACTTGTGACTACTTCTTCGGAGTTGGTGTGAGACCCAACATGGATAGGCAGCGGCTCCGGATGCTTCGACGGGTCCCTCGAGGATATGGACAAGTACAGGAGGTGAAGATCTCGGTGTTCTCCACGGAATCAGGGCCTGGATCTTCGGTCGTAGTTCGTGCTCTAGGACAAAGTTGAAAATATGCCAACACGGCTCTAGTATCGCCATAATTTCAGCACAATCTACTGACGGTTGTAATATGTTTCCAACTTTCTCTTTCATTCCAGACCAGCATCCATAGCTACCCCCCAAACGCACCACCCTCCTGCGCCATTTCATTGTTGTACATAATTCGACCATCCTAGCTATTCAATTGTATTCGAATCCTCCGGCCAATGTTGTTATCTTGTGGTGTGCCGCACACTTGACCACATGCCCGCTAGAAACTTTTCTTCTATGTATCTCCACATGATCTTCGAAGTATACTTGGAAATGTGGGACTGTGGTTCCCAATAAGTAATCCAGGTTAAATACCCCATACCGAACCCGATCAAAGGTAATGTACCATTCAAGGCCCGGACTAGAGCACATTTCCCTAGGGTGAAGTCTTCCTTTTTTTTCCCCGCCATACGTAGACAAGAAGCATGTAGAACTAATTTGAGCGTCAAGATGTTTGAATAATCAGAATACCACCAAGGGATCATTAAATGATTGACCAACCACGGAACATGCATTATAATATCCGCCCCGAAATGTCGTGATTCAACAGCGCGTGCCCGTGGTATAATCATCGAGCCGCTCTGTGATGTCTTTCACTGGGCTCTCCCATTAATATAGTTCACGCGAAACATGCTAGAAGACTGTCACCGGATAAGGTACAAAAACTCTGAGGTGCGCCCCTCTGGTTCTACCCAGCACACTTCCCGCACTCCACATCGCCGTAAACCTGTTACACGCATCTCGGTGGTAAGATGACTTCGACTTCAGTCTCTCCGCATCGGACCGTCTAACGCCCATTGTTTCTGCAAGTCTTGTTCTTTCTTGGGCCAGCCCATCCTCTCTCACGGTCCCTTGGAAGCCTTGGCCAAAGCAAGCATTTAACAGCCCGGATGGGCGCATGGAATGCTGCGCCCATTAGCGAAACCATGACCTTTATTTGAACCCCAACCTGGCCGAGCACGTCCCAAAGGGGTGGCTCACGAGCGAGAACCATCTCAATCTGACATCACATGGGACCGCGTTAAGCGGCTTGGCGCCAGGTGGTGGCTAGCGCCCTAGGGCGGGAGGCTGAGATCCAATGGGCGCGCGACGCACCACTCCTTCTGTTTCAAACGCTCCATCAAGCTCAAACCCCTCGCGCCATGTTGGTGTCGCCGCCGCCGCCGTCGTGAGCGTCCAGTCTCTATTATCTCTTCCACAGTGAGCCTGTCACTCCCTTGACAGTCCATTCTCGTCGCTCTCTCGCCATCTCTATCTCCATTTCCTTTGGGTCCCTTTGTACCCGTCGCAGTCGCTATACGCACAGGTTCACGCTGGACGTGCCTGCCTACGCTCTCTCCCCCGCGGTACACTGTTCTACCGCACATTCGAATCTTCCAGGATAGGCTGTTTGGGTTTCTTTTGCAAAAATGTTGGGTTTCCACAGGAGGACGCGGTCACTGATCCCAGTCAAGGATCTGGGCAAATATGATAAGGTGTCTATCGTAGAAGAGGAGGAACAAGAAGTCGAGGAAGAGATGGAGAGTCAAGATGTACCGGATAGTGCGGATAAGTCGCAAAGAGGGCAACTGGTGCTGGTTTACCTCGTCTTCTTCGCCGAAGCGTATGTGTTCTCCGACTGGCGCTCAATCGCAATGGGCTGCCAAACCTCCCTGGACTAATACTAACCTTTGCCTGCAGCATTATGGCCTCGAGCCTACAGCCACAACTCCAAATGCTTCTCTCGTCCTCAGACTTTTGTGGCACCCTATCTTCATCCTATCTCCGAAGCATACTCGACTGCGCATACGCATTCGGCGGAACCACAGGCCTCTTCTGGGGCTACCTCGCGGATCGCATGGGCAGACGGCGTGTAACGCTCATCGGACTCTGGAGCATGTTTGTCTGCTGCCTATGCATGGGATTTGCGACCACACTTGTTAGCTGTACCATTTTCCGATTTATTGCAGGCATGGTCAGCTCGGCTATTGTATCCACAACCCTGACGATGCTCGGAGATTTGAGCCTAACGGCAGAGGAACGCGCAAAGAACGTTGCTCGCCTACCCGTTATTTCCCTCGGCGGCTCCATGGGTCCAATTATGCAACTCATGGTCTCTGAAAGTCTGCAAGCATACAACATGGTATGGCAAAACTACCCCACCCTGGGCTCGGAGCTAGCTTGCGGAATCGTTGTGTTCATCATCGCACTCGTGGCAAGCATTTTCCTCAAGGAGACACTACCCAACTACAACGAGCGTACAGCAGACGCTGCAGACATCGACTGTGAGAGGGCAGCTTTCCTCCGCCGCGACTCGCACGACACAAATGTAACGCTCGTGGACTTTGCCCGCCCAGAACCCATCACCATCAGCCAGTTCCTCCAGGCCCCCTCCCTCATGGTCCTCCTCTCCTCCTTCTGCCTCCTCTCCCTGCACGCCTCAACCTTCGACGTGGTCCTCCCGCACCTCGGCCACAGCAGCACCGCATCCGGCGGCATGGGCCTCCCCTGCGAATGGCTCAACATCATCGTGCTCGGCGTCCGCGGCCTCGCAGCCGCCGTCGTCTTCTACGCCGTCCCCTGCGCAACCTCCAAGCACGGCCTCGTCAAGCTCTACCGCTCCCTCTCCGCCCTCCTCCCAGCAACATACATCCTCACCCCTTTCCTCGCCGCCATCGTCACATGCTCAGGCTTCGGCCCCATCATCTCCACCTTCTCCATCTTCGCCAAACACCTCCTCACCGACGCCGCCGTAGTCGTCGTATCCCTCCTCGTCCTCAACACCACCCCAGATGCCTTCTCCGCGGGCACCGTCGTCGGCATGATGCAAATCGCAAGTCTCTTCAAAGCCTTCGCCGTCGCCGTCAGCGGCACCACGTATTACTTTAGCGACGACGTCAGCGTAGATACTACCAACCTTGCTCTCTGGACCTGCCTCGCCCTCTTTGGTATCGCCGGCGCAGGACTCGCGTGGTTCGTGCGTGAGCGCCCAAGCGTAGAGAAGGACTTCCCTAGCGAAGTCCTCTGCTGGGAGACGTGCTTCGATGCTGATGCTGAGAAGCAATTTGAGCTTGAGAATACAGATGTCGAGTCGGACGGAGAGAGTGTATAGGGCTTTTCTAAGCTTTACCCAAAACTCATTCACATACACTCTTTTTTTTGGTGTTCGCTCACTCACTTTCATTCAATTTTTCATCTATGGAAGTTTTGTTCATGGCGTGGCCTCTTTGGTTTTTGGTTTTTTTGTGGCTGATCTACTGTGTCTTTTTTTGCTTCTTCGCGTAGTTACCCCCTCCCTTTTTCTTTCCCCTTCTTTCCATGCTTGTTTTGCTAGTCTACCTTTGTTTCTTTGCGTCAGTTTCTTTCTTTCTTTTTCTTTCCTCCAAAGGCATCACTCGTCGTTATCTCTCGCTAGATAGTCTGACTTGAAGGAGATGTGTGTGTGTACAACAACAATCCATTCTAAATTTCCCGTCATTATTTCCGTGCCAATCATCTGTCAAATGTGTCTAAGTTCTTGATTATCTAAGCGGCAAAAAGTTGGTATGTGCATGTGCACGATTCCAAACCTAGAACAAACTCGGTACCAGCGTTACGTATGACATACTATCAGAACAAGATTTGACACAAGTGACAGTTTGTGTTACCTTCACCCCCCCATAAACGCATAAACTACACGGTCTCAACTACATTATATCATGGCATAGAACACAAAGGCATGAATCATGTTTCAACAAAGAGTTTCATACTCTAAAGATAACTAAAGCTAATCACGACCCTAGCCTATATGGCAAATGGTCAAGTCATCTAACCAAGCAACTTTTTATTCCCCCCCCCCAGTAAACGCCATATATCCCATGAGTGAAAAATAGAACCTCTCATGCGATAATCATGTCACACATCGTTATCGTACGGGCAAAAACCTCCACACATTACTTACTCTCTCTCTCTCCTCGAGATGATCAAAGCAAATACACAGAATGCATACGAGCGACGTAGAAGCCTACAAGACGCTTAGTCGAAAGACTTCTTCTGGCCCTGGAAGTCGCCAAAGCCACCGCGGTTGAATGAACCACCACGGCCGCCTCCACGACCGCCGCCACGGCCTCCACGACCGCCAAAGCCGCCGCCACCACGGCCACCTCCACGACCTCCACGGTCGCCGAAGCCGCCGCGGCCGCCACGACCGCCGCCGCGACCTCCTCCGAAGCCACCGCGGCCACCACCGCCACCGTTGTCATCACGGGGAGCGGCAAAGTCAACGCGGAGAGGGCGGCCGGCAACGTCCTGGCCCTGGAGAGCCTCGAGAGCAGCGGTAGCCTCCTCCTGGCTGCCAAAGTCAACGTATCCGAAGCCCTTGAGCGCGCCACTGTCGCGGTCGGTAGGCAGAGAGACACGAGTGACGTTGCCATACTCGGCGAAGACCTCCTGGATGGTCTCGTTGGTGCAGTCGAATGAAAGGTTGCCAATGAAGAGAGTGTTGCTGGGAGCGCTGCGCTTGTCGCCAAACTTGTTGGCACGGGCATTGGTGTCAGGCTTTTGGCGGGGAGTGCTGAAGTCGACGTTCAATGGGCGACCGTCGAGCTCGTACTCGTGCATGTCCTTCTGTGCCTTGGCGGCATCAGCAGCCTTGGCGAACTCAACATAGCCGAATCTAAGTAGGTCAGTATTTGGTCGGACAGAAAGACATGTAGTTGTTGCAGAACATACCCCTTGGCACGGCCAGTCTCGCGGTCAGTGATGACACGGCAGCCAACAATCTCACCGAAGCTCTCGAACTCGCGGCGGAGCCAGTCCTCGTCGATGTTCCAGCTCAGGTTGCCAACAAACAGGTTCTTGACACCGTCCTCAGCAACGGGCTCATCGGTCTTTGTCTTCTTGATGACAGGCTCGGCAACCTCCTCAGCCTTGCGCTTCTTGGAGGGAGCCTCGGCCTCATCGCTTTCAGATTCGGAAGAATCAGAGTCGGCGTCGGAGTCAGAGGAGTCGTCAGAGTCGGAGGTAGAGGCAGCCTGTATTAGTTAGTAAAGGATGATCAAACCATGGAGAGAAAAAGGTAAAAACTAACCTCAGCCTTGGCAGCAGGCTTCTCGTCCTTGGACTCGCTGCTGTCTGAGTCCGACTCAGACTCAGAGTCGCTCTCAGAGTCGCTGGACTCGGCCTTGGCCTTAGCAGCACCGTTGGTCTTGACACCATTGGCCTTGGCCTTGGGGGCAGGCTTCTCCTCCTCACTGCTCTCGCTCTCGCTGTCGCTATCCTCCTCGCTGCTGTCGGAAGAGTCAGAATCGGAGTCGGCCTTAGCAGCGGCCTTGGGAGCAGCTTTGGCTTTGGCGGCGGTCTTCTTGGTGACCTCCTCCTCCTCGCTGCTGCTCTCCTCGGATTCCTCGCTCTCGCTTTCGCTCTCAGACGAAGAATCAGACTCGGGCTCTGGGGTAAGAGCCTTCTTCGACTTCTTGTCCTTCACGTTGGAAGCAACTGACTTGGCAATGTCCTTGCTCTTCGACTTGGGAGTCGCAGCAGGCTTGGTAACGCGACCGGCCTTGATGCTCGAAAGCTCAGCCTTCTTGTCCTTCTTGGACGACTTGTCCGCGACCTTGGTCTTGCCCATTTTGATGGTAATGTACTAGATCTACAATGTATCAGTATTGTGACGTGTGCGACGTAAAAATCAATGGTATTGCGGTGAAAATAAGAATATAGAGGAGCCGACTGCAATAATGCTGTCGCTCAGGCGCTGATGCCAAAAGGTCATCGTATGCGCTAGCATGCGTGATCTGGTTGTCTCAAATTGCGAAAAGCCCACTGGTATCTCTCGAGACCGCACGAAGCGGATATCCCTCAAGCCCACGGAAAGCCCACAAGAGCCCACAGAAAACCGAGCCTCAAGGCAGCGTGTTCCCACAATAGCCGAGAAGCCGGAAGATTAACCCTCATAGTAGCGCAAAGCCCTCTGGTTGATCTTGCCGTGCTCTGACGAGCTACAGACGTGCCCTCTAGAATGTGTGTCAAGGAAATGCCAAACGTTGCCCACTGACTTGTGATATGATCTGGTACTGGATGTTGCCCTCAGTAGCCCACTTGAAGTTCGCAAAAGCCCTCAAATGATGCTCGAACTGGTGATGTTCGAGGTTAAAAAGTAAGGTGAAAGATTGGTGATAGACGGTGAGTGAGCGAGTGGGAGAGGCTGGCATTTAATACCTGGAGGCGCAGAAAAGATCAGCGCCGAACTTTTCAGCGGAGACGGTGGCCCGTGCTCTGCGCCGCGACGCGTTGTGTGGCTACACTGGACGGAACCGCCCCACTGCGAACTTGGCTGGCCACGGTCAAGGCAGTATTTTGCAGCAAAGCAGCGGCTCAGGGTCCAGCAAGGGACGCTGTTTTTGCCGTGGATACGTGGACGGAGAGATTGGAGAGTGGAGCTGTATCTTGCGAGCACGACTCTTTAACCTGTACTTAGATGAGTATGAGCATGGTCTAAAAGTAAAAAGGCCAGTTTTGGCTATGCGCAGGGCACTTTTGCTTATACAGACGGTGCCTACAGAAACTTAACAGACTGTAATCCAATTGTCAATTCAGATGTACATGCATTCAATGGACCAAACAGTCCCAGTCGTGCTCTCCCATGCCTACCTCGACATTGGAAACTACGAACTGCACAGTTTGCCAGAGCTCGCGCAGGTTTACGCTAGTACCACTATGGTAAGGCGTAGTCATTCTTCCACGAGTCCGAACCATGAAGCCGTGCAACTCCTGTTCAAGCAGTGTCATCATGGCCTCACCAGCAGTCCATAAACCGCGGCGGCGGAGAAAGATCGAAGAAGGCTCTCTTGCCCAAGTCGCACATGGTACCCTCGACCACGATGAATCCACAAACTCAACGAAACCAGCCTTTCCCCTCGTCGCGTTTCTGTGGCCTGCAAAAGGCACCGTGTCGCAATGGATCACCATACCCCTCATACTCATGGCCGTCGGCTTGTTCCGCTGGGCCGTCGGTCTCTGGGGATATTCGGGCTATCAATCGCCGCCAATGCATGGAGACTTTGAAGCCCAGCGCCACTGGATGGAAATCACACAGCATATCCCAGTCTCCCTGTGGTACTTTTATGACTTGCAGTGGTGGGGACTAGACTATCCGCCTCTGACTGCATACCACAGTTGGCTTCTGGGGGCCATGTATGTTCGGTTCCTTAGACATGCAACGCCCATACTGACGATTGTCACAGCGGCTCTGCCATCAACCCTAAGTGGTTCGAATTCCACGAGTCGCGCGGTCTCGATGATCCGTCCCTCAAAATATACATGCGAGCTACCGTCCTTGTATCCGAATACCTCATATACGTCCCCGCCCTTGTCATCTTCCTCCGCCGATTCTCACGCCTCGAAGGTGTCAACATCTGGGAATCGTCAATTGCATTGGTGGCCATATTGATGCAGCCAGGAGCCATATTGATTGACCATGGACACTTCCAATACAACACCGTTATGCTCGGCTTCGCTATCGCCACACTGTCAAGCGTGGTCGCTGGAAGGCCGCTCTGGGGTTGTGTCTTCTTTGTCGGTGCTCTTGGATTCAAGCAGATGGCGCTGTTCTATGCGCCTGCCATCTTTGCCTATCTCTTGGGCATTTGCGTTTTCCCGCGAATCAACATTGTACGATTCTTCGCCATTGCGCTGACTACTGTCGCTGCCTTTGCTATCTTGTATTTGCCATTCCTTACAGGTGTGGCATACGATGTTTACATTGGCTTCTACCATGGCCTTCAAACGGTGCCCCCACTACTAAACGTGGAGTGGTTCATGACACCATGGAACAGAGAGGCTTGGTACTATCCTTATGTTCTCGAGGTGGGGCAGTCCATCCATCGCATCTTTCCCTTTTCCCGAGGGCTATTCGAGGACAAAGTCGCCAACATCTGGTGTACCATCCACACCTTTCACAAGCTGCATCGCTATCCGATCCAGTCACTCCAACGGCTGGCACTCCTCGCGACGTCGGTTGCCATTCTGCCACCGTGTTTGATCATCTTCCTCAAGCCGAAGAAGCAAATTCTTCCGCTTGCCTTCGCAGCGGTTTCATGGGGCTTCTTCCTCTGCTCATACCAGGTGCATGAGAAGAATGTTCTGTTGCCATTGTTGCCCATGACTCTACTTCTTGGCGGACATGAAGGTCTACTACCAAGTACCCGCGCATGGGTAGGACTTGCAAACATGCTCGGCGTGTGGACCATGTTTCCGCTATTGAAGAGAGACGAATTACGGGTCCCGTACTTTGTCGTTTCGCTTCTTTGGGCATATCTTCTAGGCCTTCCCCCCGTTTCATTCTCGGCCTATCATGAAGGCAGCCGAAGTGGACTTGATATTTTTAGCAAAGTGTTGCACATCAACATTTACATTGCCATGGTCGGGTGGCATATCGTAGAGGCATTCTTCGCTCCGCCAGCAGACAAACCGGATCTCTGGGTTGTCGCAAACGCGATTGTCGGAACGGGCGGGTTTGGCCTTTGCTACCTATGGTGCTTGTGGCGGCTTGTGGTTAAAAGTGAATTGATCGGAAAGGCCAAAAGCAAAACAAACTAGGAGCAAAGGGAATGATTGTAGGAGGATTTCAGTATTTCTTTGCGATACCCCGGCTAGATGTTTGGAGCGAAGATTCCAATTCTGTTGATACATGTTGTACAGCAAAGAAATGATGCCGTCTAATATTCAACGCCACCCATATGCTCGTCTTGTCCATGTTTTCCCACCCATTAACTCAGTCGCCATCAGAGTCCATTGGCATTATATCTTGAAGCCATAACCGGCCATGCATCGCCTGTAGTCGTCGACGAGGTTGGCGCATTCCTTTTGCGCATCGTTTGAGGTGGAGAACAGCATGCATTCGTCGCGCTTCGCTTTCTGGTCGGTACAGACGCAACAGGGCTTCACCTTCGGTTTTTCGGATGTCTTGAGGTCTGAGCCCATATTGGCGGCAGTGGGTGGTGCTGTAATTCCTTGTGTCAGCTAATTGGCGTCGCTGCCATGATTGCATTCTCTTGGAAACATACCTGACGACATGCTGTGTACGTGTATGTGTGGTGGTGGTGAATGGAAAGATGCTTAGCAATCGGAATTGCGCACCAAAAGTTCCCGCCGGGCATGGTGTCATCAATCGACTTGGTCTTGGCGCGCATTCCCGCGGCGGCCACTGCACGAGGGCAAACCCCCTGCAAGATTTCAACGGGTCTAGGCAAATCAACCCCCACTACGCCCGCCAAAACATTGCGCCCCACGACTCACACGACCTTGTCGCCCGTTGAATATCATTCACTCGCCCTCTGCTAGACTGTATTTTACCACGACTGCAAGGGACATTCAAACACAAATATGGCTGGCGCAAAGGTCTTTTCTATCGAGGGCAAGGGCCTGAAACTCACCACAGCGGCGGACATTGAGCCGCACATTCAGGAGTTGAAGACCAACAACGATGTGGAAGAGGTCAAGTTCCTAGGAAACACCCTAGGTATCGAAGCCAGCGAGGCGCTGGCCAAGGTTCTGGAGACCAAGAAGAATCTGCAGGTATGGAAAACATCCCTTTGTTGTCGCCAACTGAGGGGCACACTGACTGACATGAACAACAGGTCGCAAACCTCGCCGACATCTTCACCTCCCGTCTTCTCTCTGAGATCCCGCCTGCGCTATCGCACCTCCTTACTTCCCTCCTTACGCTACCAAAGCTCCACACCGTCGATCTCTCCGACAATGCCTTCGGCCTCAACACTGTTGCCCCGCTCGTCGACTTTCTGTCGCAACATACCCCACTTCGCTACCTCTATCTGAACAACAACGGTCTCGGCCCAGCTGCCGGTGTGCTCGTCGCCGATGCGCTGACTGCACTTGCCGCAAAGAAGGAAGCCGCGCGCAAGGAAGGCAAAGACGTACCAGACCTCGAGCTCGTCATCTGCGGTCGCAACCGTCTGGAGAACGGCAGTATGGCCGCATGGGCAAAGGCATACGCAGCAAACAGCGGCGTCAAGACGATCAAGATGACGCAAAACGGTATCCGACAGGAAGGCATCTCACACCTCATCACAAACGGCCTCGCACACTTGACCAAGCTCGACACCCTCGACCTCCAAGACAACACCTTCACTGCCATGGGCGCAAAAGCCCTCAGCCAAGCCGTAGTAAACTGGACCCACCTCCGCGAACTCGGTGTCGGCGACTGCCTCCTCAGCAGCCGCGGCGGCATCGCCCTCGCCGCCGCCCTAGAAAAGGGGCAGAACAAAAAGGTCGAAGTCCTGCGCCTCCAGTTCAACGAAATAAACGCCAAGGGCCTCGCGGGCCTCGCATCTGCTTCTCACACCGCGCTCCCTTTACTCCGCCGCATCGAAATCAACGGCAATAAGTTCGACGAGGAAGATCCTAGTCTCGATAAGCTGCGTGAGGTCCTGGGTGCGCGCAAGGACGAGTCGGGTGAGAAGGCTGATGATGAAGAGTACTGGGGTTTGGATGAGTTGGATGAACTCGAGAGCGATGATGAAGAGGACGAGGAAGAGAGCGATGAGGAGGAGAAGAGGGGAGAGGCGGCGAAACTGGTGGCGGATGATAAGAAGGACGAGGAGAGTAATGTGGCACAGGACAAGGATGCAAAGGTCGATGACCTGGCTGACTTGATGAGCAAGACGGAGATCAAGTAGTTTTTTTTTGCTCCTTGGCCTTTGTGTTTTCCTTGGTTGGTCACTGGTAGTGGTGGTCGTGGTGGGGGGTGGGAGACCGTTTTGCATTCAGCGGTTCTTGGGACTTTTTGGTCTTTAATTCTTCTCTTCCTCTTTTTTTTTCCCACTGAGTATCTCACTGGGTGTGTAGCATTTCGATACCATAGACAATGCTCCAGCATCATCGCTTGTATGATGCCTTTTGTTATCTTGACTCTGTCTGTCATCTACCTACTAGCTTGATCGCTACAGGCAGTGAATTGAGTTGGGCAATGTGACCAAAGATAGCAGTTCAAGAAAAAGAAAGAAAGAGAGGATTTGAATTCAAGAAAGTGAGTTTCATTAGGAAGCTACTAGGCCCGTTCATCTAAACATACATACTCGTATCGTACTTGCTATTAATCATCTTTAGCTTCAAGGTTCTCTGAACGCCTCATGAATTAACCTTCCTTCTCAAATAAATGTCCGGAACCATTCCCATGCCACTCCTCTAAAAATCACAGCAGCAAACAAAGCTGTGTTGTTCGAAACGATCTCACTGAGCTTTGTTCTCTGTCTTTGACATCCCACCCAAGTCTCCCTCGACCTTCTTGGGTTCCTTGTCAACATCAGTGTCTTCTTTGTCTGCTACAGCATCCGTTTCCGAGGGATGAGGCGAGTTGGAAATGTCACTAAAGGTTCTCTGGCGATGGGCAGCAACAGACTGTGCTGTAGCGGCCAGTCTACCTTTCTCAGTATGTCCATGAGCACGCATCTCGCACGAGTGAAGCTTGTTGGCTTCGGCTGCCGTGACGGTACCGTCTTGAATCTTCGGTCGGATTGCAAGCTCTGCTTGTCGAAGGTTCTCTTCCTTGTCGTGGCGGGGTTGCTCTTGGAGGGAGAGGGTGTTCTTACTATCATCCCGGCTCTTTGGTCGGATTGGAAGCTCTGCTTGGTGAAGGTTAGCTTCGGCTTCCGTGACGGTACTTTTCTGGAGCTTCGGTCGGATTGGGAGCTCTGCTTGGTGAAGGTTCTTTCCTTTGTCGTGGCAAAGTTGTTCTTGGGGTGATAGGGTATTCTTACTGTCAGCGCAAGGACACTCGTAGCAAGGGCACTCATCGGCAGCATTCGACTCGCGTCCTGCAGCAGTTGACTGAGCAGTAGCAGCAACACATCCCTTGACGGTATCACCGTGAGCGCGAGATTCAAGGGATTGGAGACGGCCAGCCTCTTCCTTGGTCAAGGTACCCTCCTCTATCTTGTCCTTGACGGCGTCTGCTGCCTGTAGAAGGTTTCCCTCCTTGTCATGCTGGGATTGGAGTTCAGATGATGTGAAGCTTCCTTTGTCTGATTGAGACTGTTCACTGTCCGAGGGCTGCAAGGTCTTAGGGCCGCCACTTGATGATAGCTGACGCTCACGTTTCGCAACAACAGACTGAGCAGCAGCAGTGATACCGCCCTTCTCAGTGTGTCCATGTGCACGAGACTCAAGCGAATGGAGTCGATCAGCCTCAGCCTTTGTCACTGTGCCTTGGACAATCTTGGGCTCGATCTTGGCAATTTCCTCCTGGAGCTCGCCTTCCACTTCTGGGTGGGGAATGTTGGTGTGACCGAGAGCCTTCTGCATTTCTGTGGCAGTGTCAGCGTGTGGTCTAGACTTCTGATCCCTAATGAGGTCTTTTTCATAGACAAAATATGTTGGGGATTTGACAGGTGTCTGCACTTACTGCTAACGATGCTCTGTGTGATGCGAAGGACCTCTGTAGTGACCTCCTCAGGGCTGCCATCTACGGAGGCATGCAGTTCCTTGACAGCCGTCAGTAGCAAGCGGTGATGAGCCTGAGCGTGGCTTGATTTCTGGTGGTGCAAACCTTGTTAGCAATAGCTAGATATTCAACGGCAGAGATAATGCGGACCGCTTTCTCATCAGGTGGAGCAAAGTTCCCAGACAGAAGACGAGCATCATCAGCCGTGATACTGAGCGGATCGGTCTTCAGCTTGTCCAAGATGACCTCCAGTTGGTCGAGGAATTGGCTCGACTGGCTGGTAGCAAGGCTGCTCACATCGGAAGACATCTTCTCACTGTGAAGTTCACTCATAGTGAGCAATGGAGATTCGAGGAAGTTGAAGGTGATGCTTGGAGTGGGGGATGCAAGGTGACTGGAAGAGTTGAGAAGAGAAGTGGTGTTCTGGTGTGCAGTGAGATGTCTTGAGGTTTATGTTTGGAGCCGATGACGTTCTTGGACGGCAGGTGAAGGAAAGTGCAGGTGCCAAACAGCGGCATTGGACGACCTAGGCAACTGTACTTGCCTTTGATGCAGCATTGATGTGACAGCATACCACTCCAAGGAAACAGCGCAAAGAACGTTTCTCGACGCTGCAGAATTGTATGCAGATGAGGCAAGCACAGGGGAGTGCATTGTGCAAGAAATAGGGGTTAGAAAAACCGAAGTGTAGTGTAGACCGAAAGTGTCAATTTAGGCCTTAACCTGCTCTCCATCGCCAGATTTACTACAGTAATTTCCACAAATAGAACATGTGCTTTTCTCAGTCTGTTTACCGAAAGTCAGCGAAGCAGAAACACCACTCATGGTGCCACATTCGAGGGCCGACCATCAGCCAATCCCAGCCTCTCATCCATCACCTCCAAAAAGTCCCTTTCCCTGCCAAACTCTCCAATACTAGCAAGCTTCTCGAGTGTCTTCTCCGAACTTTCGCACTCATTGTACCATCTCCTTTCAAAATTGAAATCGCCATTCAATTCATCTGGGAGAATTACCCACTCAGGCAGCGCGCACGTTTCCTTCTCGCCATCCATGTACCACCAGAACCTTGCCTTGCCCTGCTCTTTCCAAGCCTCCCTGTTCCATGACTTTGCCAATGGCGAGTGCGACTCCCAGCCCTTTATCAGACTACGAAAGTAGGTGATGGGGTGAATGTACTCGTTCGTAACACCCAAGTCTCTCAATTTGGTCCATGAGTGCACTTTTGACTTTTCGTCGTATTCTTCGCCGCTTTCATGACCGGGCATGCGTACATGCATACCATTCAGGTAATACATTGTGGTGTACGAGTCAACAAGCGGGCCAGTGCCCCAGCTGAAGTCAAACTTCTCATGCGCGTGTGGTGAGGCAGCACGCGGAAGTTTTAGCTCCTTGCCACCAGAGCTCAGGAATGGGATAGAAGGCAGCTTCGGGACGCTATTCCACATCTTCTGTAGCGTATTTGGGTGGTAGTAAGTGCAGGCGTAGCGAATACGGAATAGCCAACGCTTGTATTGGTTGATATGCATTGAGAAGGCGTGTCGATCTATAGCCAAGTGCGGAGAAATGACTTGAAGCATCCAGCACAGAGTCGCTGTTGATATATCTAAGCCTAGTTAGCATTTTCACTGGCTGGGTTTCAAATTGGGACCCGACTTTCTGAGTCTCCCTTCATCTCCCCAAGGGCGTCCTGTGAGCCGCCACCACAATTGATGTGTACACCAGGGAACTAAATGGAGCACTGTTAGTTTGTTCGTTACCTCAAATACGTTATGCTGCACTACACACCCAGACCTGCTTGAGTTCAGGTGTACGTCGGTTTGGATCGTCGACGAGGTCCTTTGGAATATACCAAAGAGTCGGACGGAAAGCTTTGCGTCGTTCATCTAGCGCAAGGGCTTGAAATGCATGCTCAATATCTAGTGGGCGCTTAGCAGCAATCTCAATTTTTTTTAGCCGTGCGACTTACTCTCTGTCAGCTTGACATTATGGAAACCGTATTGCGTTCTCTGAGAGGCCAAATTCAAGCCCATCATGTCTGGTATGCCCAAAGATCCAACAGTGTCCCAAACACCTACGACTTTCACCTTTCTGCTGTCTTCACTAACGGCGAGTTCTCCATGCGGTCGAATTTCCCACACCTCTGCAAGTAGTTTGAGATCGTCCAGGCCAATTGCTTTGACATCCACACCCTGTTTCTTCATCTCTTCTCCCTTCTTGCTCAGCTTGCCTTCAGTGAACCACCTCCACGCTTGTGTTTGGCGAAAGTCAACTCCTTCATCATTTGTCTGATACAGGCTGTATAGTGTCGCGAAGAACTGCATACTAATGGGTGCTATGACTCCAATGTCGGAAACGAGTCCTGCAACTGCACGCGCAGTGTAGGCACCTCTTGAGAAGCCAAAGCAGAAGATCTCATCACCCGGCTCATAGTTTTGCACGATGAAGTTGTATGCTTCAATGACGTTCTCTGCCAATCCAGCTCCTGTACCACCTTGTCGGTTCCTTTCAGAAGAGCTGAGATTTCCTGTTCCCACTCCAGAATCGTAGTAGACAATCTGGTGAAATTTTTTCGAGGGGTTGTTCCGATCTGTGCCAACACGGGCAATCAGGCGGCATAGTTTAGTGACATTGGATGGGACGTTTGTTTCGATAGTGACGCTCGACTGCCAAGTCCCGTCGCAGCATATGACTAGACGTCGTCCCCAGGCCTTGCTGTCGTCGTCGGTCATGGTAGAGTGGGTCAAAGGGAGGGAATAAGACGTAATGATGCTTAGGTGGGGGTGCTATGTCTAGGGACAGCAAAGTTTATCGCTGTATTTGTATGGCAATGCCAAAATCGTACCAAGGCTGTTGTGGATGCAGGCGTAGCAAAAGAAGGTTTCAACTGTAACATTCAGGGGCAACCCCAGACAGTGGAAAAAAGAGAGAAAGGCAATAAGGCAACCAGACTGCGTAATCCTTCCTGTCAGCTGTCTATCCGCTAGAAAGCTCACACCGCGAAGGATCGACAGGAAGCTGAGGGTTAGCCCCCAAATTGCCCAATACAACGCCCCATCCTTTATGTGACGGCTGAGAGCTACGGCGGGCTGCCAAGCAACATGTTTCCACCAGCTGCATTAGGCGATGCCGCTGCTTGCATTTCTGTGTTTCTCACTCTCTTCAACTGAGAAGTTGGATAAAAAGGCTGCTTAGATCTCTCTGGCTCTTAGCGAGAGGTGGAAGCGGGGTATTTCTTTTTCTGGCTTTTGACATGACGAGTTGTGACGAGTTGTGAGGGGTTGAGGGCGTGCCAATGGCAACTGTGCCAATAGCGGCTGTTGTTTATTGGTTACAACATGACACTTGCTTCTCAGATGAAATATGCCTATGTGCACGAACAGGTCATCTGGTCCTTTCCATGAACGGTAAATGGGCGAGGGAGGATGGGTGTGCTTGTTCCCGACGTGGCGTGGGCAGTGCTTTTGTTCAGAGCATTTAGAGCAAGAGGAGGCGGCACGCGGGCCCACCCGGCTCCCGCAGCCCGCGTCAACGACGGACCATGGGCATGGCGCAGCTGGCCCTGTCCCTCTGAATAGCTTCAATGTTATGCGCACAGCCACTGCTCTGCTCAGTTGACTATAATATCACCACACCATGTCAGTGTCACGATACTCAATGACCTTCTCCAAATTGTTTGTGCTTTATTTTTGTTCATTTATTTTTTTTGGTAGAGTGACACTGCAACTCACTATCGGGCTGAAACTGCCTGTGCTGCTCTCAAAAGAGACAGAACACCGATGCTTCATTCTCTAAGGCCAATGGATATACCAAAGGCGCGACCTGCGCTAACATGAAACATGAGATCATAACTATTTCTGCAAAAAAGCAAGCAGATGGAGCCGACCACACATGTGTCGGACATTGTGTGTCGCGATATGGCGCCATTTTCGCGCAATACGCGAAAGCCCTTGTGGTATATCTGCGCTCACCACCCGTACAAAACGCCTGTAATCCAACAGTAAAGATGTCGCTGAATCGCTGAAAATCATAACCACCAAATCTAGTGCATACCATATCCAATAACCAAAACCATTCCAATATCGTAACCAACAATCCTACAAAGTGCTTTCTCATTGAGAGTGAGGCGAGTTGCCAGCCGTATGCGGACGACTACCATACTGCGAGCCATCGTGGAATCCGTCGAAGCTTTCACCAGATGACATTCTTCGAAGGTCATCACCGTCGGCCATATCAATGTCTTCCTGCTCATACCTTCCCGACCCATTGGAACCCTGTGGCAGCCCCATGTTTGAAAAGGATGAGTATTGTCGCGGAGGTGCTGCAGGGGGCACTCCAGCATTGCTAATCTGCTCAGCCAGACTTGGTTTTTCCGCTAGGTTGCTGAGCATGACACGGCTAGCGTCCAGCATGGAGACTGCGTACTCGAGAAAGTCGGCGCGCTTGGAAGAGACGGACAGAGTCCAGCGGTATTCGCACAACCTCAGCTTGTAGAACTCGGCCTCTTCTTTGGCGGGCGCTGTAGCCCACAGCAGCGATCCAAACGTTCCGATGAGCGTAAAGTTGACCTTGGAAGCAAAGTACCAGAAGGCCTGCAGATGTTCTGGCTTGAGGCGGTTGACAAAGTCCATGGCAGAAATCAATCGCGTCTTTGCAGCACTACGACACATGAAAAGACCGTAAGAGTCTGGGTTGGTCGAGTCAAGAGACTGTACAATGCGTCGATGCAGGGTGATTTCTGTCGCAAAGTATGCAAGGTGCAGATAGCCAGACGACGTGAGCTTGCCCTTCTCCGGCGTGTTCATCTTAACTTCAGCAGGCAACTTCTCGTGCCACTGGCGGAGCTTGATCTGCACAGGTTTGGCGCGGGCCAGAATGAGTTCAGTGGACTTCTTCCCTGCGTTTGCGAAATCTTGGATGGCAGTCTGGGTGTAAAATGTGTCCATGACTTCGGCCATGATTTGGGTAAGTCCGATCATCTGGGCAAACAGTATCCGTCCTCGCTGGCTGTCCGTTTTCTCGTCTTCGGTCTCTTCTTGCCGTGTTTCATATCCGTCTCCTTCTTCAATAAAGTCTTCTTCAGTAATGGGCTTGACTGCCCAGTTAGCATTGAAGATGTGTGAGGGGCGGCCGTGGATCAACGAGCTCCATTTGTCCTGCATGTACAACGCACATGCGATGCGCTTCCTCAGCCCACGCTCCCAAAGAGGAACCGACCATGAGGAGCAGTCAAGATGGAGGCCCAGTTCTTGGCCAACGGCGACCAGTTGCGTAGTCAGACTCCACGAATCTGCTTCTGGACGCTGAAGCAGCAACAAACCTGCCTGCACAGTTGACAGTTTAGGTCGCTCCATTGACAATGTCAATGCCTTCATTGCGACCGCTTCCAATCGGGCTGCATCGGGTTTGGAATAGCTTGCGAGCTTGGGGTTGAAGGACCACCAATTTAGGGCCAGAATGTACATTCCAGCTAGAAGGGCTGGTGAGAAGCCCCGATCGCCGCTGCGATAGCGCTCGACGAAAAGGTGCTTTTGGATAATGGGGTAGTTTGGATGTACTACTTGAAAGTACAGGTCTAGCAGGGCAGGGCCATGTGGGTGCACAAGCTGCTCGACCTGAGTCAGTGCCTCGGACTCGCCGGCAAAATCTTGCGTGTTCTCGTCAGGCAGCATGATGAAGCATTCATGATCGTTTACTCGTCGAAGGGTGCCGAGATCAAAAGTAGATTCGTTACGGGTATCGAATTGGGAGAGGCCAATGAGTAGAGAGTCGAAAGGGGAGCTCAGACCAATGTATCTGCTGTGCTGGCGCCGTTGCAGGCCCAGCGTCTCTCCAAGCTGAGGTGGGTGCAAACTTTGCACGTGGGACAGCTGTGTTTGTGGTGGTGGTGGTGGTGGTTGTGATGGTTGTGATTGTGATGGTGGGCTTGGCGCCGTTGCTGTGATGGTGGGGGTCGACAATGCCAATGGAGGAGGTTCCGAGTCGACGGATCTAGCAGACGGTATCAGTCATGCCATCTAGCCGCATAAAGTACAACTCCAAAAAAAAGACGAAGTGTTACAGGGCAATGGATACAAACCACATCAAGAGTGGGGAGGGAAGGTAGGTAGAGTGCATGGCACGTGAGCACGTGACAGTTTGGCGTGGTATATGTACGTAGTTGCTCCTTTGCCCAAGCGAGCCATGGGACATTTTTCTCGAACGCGGGGCAGTGGAGGAGCCTAGACATACCTCTTCTTTGTGTTGCTGGGCGAATCTTTTTTCTCGCCGTCGACGACTTTCCTCTTGCGGGGAAGGGGACTTTGCACAAAGGTACAGTCCTGCTTGTGGAAGTCGCACAAGACACACAGGGCGGCGCCCTCGTGTATCACACAGCGACTCTTCCTCCGTCTGCAGGCGTCACACGGGCGTTCTCTCCGCGAGCGGATGTTGGAGACGGGACCGTTGGTGGAGGTTGGCTTGGTCAGGTTCTCCTTGGTCGAGGGTGACTTGTGTACTGTGCGAGGGCGAGCTGGTGCTATGGAGACGACTGGGCGTGGGCCCATGGCCGGCTGCTGCATTGCTACGGCCGTCATGGCTGGGCAGCTGGCGTGGAAGGGGGCGATAAGGCTATGAGAGACTACGGGCCGTTGGCCAGACTGCGGATCAGGATGCAAGTATCTTGCTATCGGAGCAGGGTATGTGGCAGGTCTTATCGCGTGGGAGAAGGCGAGGTCACTTTGGATATTGGGCTATGCCAAGAACAGCAAATATATTTGGATAATGCAGCGGAGGGAGCGAGGGAGGGAGAGGGACAAGACAGCGGGTGCTCAAGGGCCCAGATTGCCGGTAACGGCTGTGAGGAGAATGAGGTGGCTGATGGTTCGCGCCGTCATTGAACGTGTGCCCAACTACTACAGTGTAGAAGATGGAGCGACGTCGGCGGGGCGGGAGCGGCGTGGGAAGCCTGGGCTGGTCCTGGGGGGCGGAGGGCTAGGACCTGGTGCGGGGAGAGGGCTGGTGCATGGTGCGGGGGGATGGATGGGTGAATGGGTGAGTGTGTATGTGTATATGTGTGTTTGTGTGTGTGTAGTATGTATGTATATGTTTTTGCCTTGAAGAGAGCGCCGGCACTGTCTTTTGTGCCAGACATGTGCTCGGGATGGGTTTGGACATGGACCGCGCACGGATGGGCAGGGCAGTAGGCCGCAAGGGGACTAGCGCCGTCCCTGCTTTGTGCTATCTTACGTACAGCCGAGAGATAAGGAAAGCACGACGGGCCAATGGCCGGCGCACGTCCACTCCCCCACCTGCGTCGTTTGATCTTTCCATTACTCCAGCCCAGGAGCTTATCTACTGCGCTGCACTACTCACGCCCCAGCTTGCCTGTCTGGGCCAGTTACTCTTATGTACTCGTTACCAGACTCCATGCTTGGGGCCATTGGCATATGCACGTCACCCACGACTCGATGCACATGCACACAACTGCCCATCACCTCGCCTGCCCGCGACATCATTGCCCTTTGCTCTGCCTGTCACTTTGCAACCGACCGTTTTGTCCCGATGCCGCCGACGTGCGCCTGTGCATGTGCCTGCCACACTCAGCCCTCCCTCGCCACCCGCAAATCTCAAACGCTGCAATCTGTGTACGTAACTACTACCACTACTTAGTTTCCAAGCATCTGCTTACGTATACGACACACCATTGCAGCAGTTGCAGTAGTGGCAATTCCATGTCACTCTCCCGCTCGCTCACCACATCAGGAATCCTATTCGACTTGCAAATCACCCTTCTGCATGGTGGTGCCATAGTAGGCGCCCCTCCGCACGTGTCGCCCGGCCGTCTTCTCCACAGTGTCCCTAGCACTAGAAATAAGCAAGTAAGTACATGCTAGTGGGGCCCTTGATTGCCATGTCTGCTCCGCTCCCAACCCTGCCCACGATACCCTCACCGCTCGCCCTTCAGGCAAAACGTCTTGCCCTCCGACCACCGGCAATGCGCAGCATCCGGAATGCTCCGCCAATCCCATCTACCGTTCACTCTCTTTTCCCGGTGATGTCATAGCCGCCTCGTCTGTTCCTTTGGAGCCCCATTCTTTGCCCATGTCGCTCCCGAGCCGCGGTCAATTGCCCTCGCCTGCTGGGTTGAGACGGTCGAGATCTACGCTTGTGTACGTAAAAGCTCCAAGCCTTTTAGCCTTGCACTGCCAGCGACCTCAGACTTGGGTCATGTTCGTGCAAACCGACAGGTGGGCCCCCTCCCCTCCCCCCCAGCTGCACTCTCTGCGTTGCCCTATCTGGCCTCGCTAAAGGTCGTGTTCCAATTTCTCAACAACGGAACCTTACCCTTAGTCGTTATCACTCTCCAAAGGCCCGTAACCACCCTTGACCTCTGCTCCGCGCGCTCAGACTCCGCGCTCCCTCACTGGTCAACTCCGAGGCTGCCTACTTCCGCCCAACCGCGTCAATTTTCCGACACCTCAGGGTTCCATGGTTACGATTACGAGATCTTTGATCGCAGATCTGCATGTGACAGCATACGCGAGCGAACCATGTCTAGCCCAATGGCATCGTTTGGCAAGTCGGGCCGCTATTCTCCGGATCCAATCCTCCATCATTATCTGCCTGCTCCGCAGTCGTCGCATTTGCCGTCTGTCCAGGATCACCGAGCCATGTTTACTCACTTACTTACATCAGCAACCCAAGTACACCGACAGGCCGCTTCTTCACGTCATGTTGTACCATCCAGCGGTGTGAGATTATACACTTATCATAGGAATACAGCTACTGCATAGCCACTTCACATTTATCATTTGTCTCGCTGACAACACATTTTGGAACACGGAAACTGTAGCGCGCGCACTGCCATGCATTGAGACGTGGCTATAGGGTTGTAGCGACAAGGCGAATCGCCAATCCTTACAAATCCGGGATATCCTTTGCGTCTCATCCCCCTTCTAGGTGTAGTCACATTGATTTTCAGAGCTGGGGTCTGGGGTCCGGGGTTTTGGGGTGTTAATTCGTCCTCCCCGTGTAAGCTTTTAAGGTTTACAAGACTTTGCCGCGGCATTTTGGGACCCCCACGCCAACGCTGACATGACAATATACTACTTGCCAATATCGATGAAAATCAATCAATCTTCCTTACAACGCCTGTTAGTATTGGCATCATACATCGCACCAGAGTTATAGTACCTTGGCTTTTCCAAGCGCATTTCGTATCCTTTTTTTCTTCTCTTCTCGAATCTTTTTGCTTTTCTGCACTACAATGTAAACGCGCAAGTTGACTTGGCGTAAGCAAGTACGCAAATTGGATCTTCAAATGCTTATTTATACATACTATATGAGTTTGTGGGAAAAAAAAATCCTATGTTCGTAAGTGTTGGTAGGTTTGGCCTTGCTATTGTAATAAGCAAAAGTTGTTCTCCCATCCCAAAGCTTACTTCTTTTCTAAATCCGCTATACTTACCAAGAATCTGAGGGTTTATGCCAAAAATAACATTAAACCTTGGGGGCAAGTACACGTGAGCATGCCGCCACTACCAGGCCACTTAGTAACAAGCTCAGAGCTCTCTCGGTGACTACCATGAACAAACATGCTAATAGTCTAGGAGCCCGTGGGTCTTCATGGGTCCCGCTTGAGGTACTGCTATTTTGTTTTGTTTTGTTTTAGAAAAAAACCCCTCTGCCCATGATACCGATAAATAGACATTGTGCTAGGCCTTGAGAGTTGGTTTTATCCGCGTTTGACACTAATCAAGCTTCTTTTTGATACGCAATGTTGGTGTTAGTAACTAAATTTTCCTTTGTGTTGTGAATCAAGTCCATTGCGCCACGCATGAATGTTGTACATTCCATGGACAACCGTTGGCTGCACATTCTTTACACAACGTGTAAACATTTTATCATCCTTACGGCTTTGATCCTCATGGCAAGTGTTTTGGGCCATCTTCTCTCTCACTCACAGAAGCAACAGTCCCAAAAGCCAACTTTCTTGGCATCACCAACGGACAAAAGGAAATTCAGCTTGAAATGGGATCAGTTGTTGATTTTTCTGAACACAACAGTCAATACCCGTGTACTAATCTCACGGAATCTGCTGATTGCTCATGCCCTCGGCAAAGCTCCTGTGATAATCGTATGTACAAAGTCTGGGCACTCGTCAACCCCCCCTCGCATAATGTAATCCCAAAATACACGCCTCGTATGGGGGCCATGTAGCGCATCATGTGTTTCGCCATGATCATATCGTCGTTATATCTAGCGTCTCTCGCTCTAAATCGACAAACAAGCAGGAAGGTATCCCAAGGAAAAGATAGGCCATGTCGAGTGCCGTCATAGTCTGCGCAAATGTTGCGCGTGTCGCGTTTGACGTGAAGAAGGCCGGAAGCCGCGCGAAGGTATCCTCTTCTTCAGTGCATAGGCGGCTGGTAGTTGATAGGTCGCCTGTATCCAGTCAGTCCGAGCTTTGCTGTATGCACGCAGAGAACAAAAAAACGTACTTGAAGAGCAAAATATGTGGCTCTGGCTCATGTACCTCGTAGTGTTCCCATCCCAGACTCTGTTTCCGTGTCAGCAAGCAGTGTGCATACCCAGTCGGTGCCCGTACCTGAGTGATTCCCAGTGCCCTCCACTCCTCTTCCCATAGCAGCTTCAGTGTGCCTCGTGCGCCATCAAAGTAGTCCTTGGGAATCGCCTTCAGCATCTGCTTGGGCAGCTGTACATGTCGATATTCGTAAACGTCATCCGAGTACCTATCGCCAGCGTCAGTACAATCCGCGCTGACCGCTCCTTGAACAAACAACCGACCTTGCCGAATAGTGGATCGCGTCGACGAACTCATCCAGCTTCTCCTTCTCGTGCTCAGAGAGCGGGCGCGGTTTCTTGTTGCGGCGCGTGAAGTCGATATCCAAATCGCCCGACATGTTTGCAGCTGGGTGACGCGAATGGAAGCGCTCGTGTGCTCGTGCGGTGGGGTGTTCGCGGCTGATGGAAGCGAGTGGGGCAGACGGCGGCGCAGTTTTGGTACGCAGCTGCGATTACGTATGCGGAAATGCGCGCGTTGATAGAGAGTTCTGGCCCTTGGATGTAGAGAGAGAGTCACCGTATCAGTGAACCAGAGGAGAAATAGCTCAAGGCATCAAGCCCAAACAGTCGTTGTTTACGAGAGTCATGAAATTTAGTCGCTGCGTCGGCCCGAGCTTCACCGCTAGCCCGAAAACGGCCAAGAGTATCCGCTCCTCCATGTTCCTACCGCAACGTCTTTCACCCCTGTATCTGCATCTCTGCTGATCAGCGTTTGTTGCTCATGTCTGCAAGGCTTACGCCTTAGCCGGCGGAACAGGCACAAGAACAATGACCACGTGAGCTTCGCCGTTCATCCACACATTGATCATGTTTGACAAATATACTAAATTTCTCTACTCAACGATACGCTACGTAAATCATTCCGCTACATAGAATTTGACCGTCCTCGATGGCACAATATCAATTGTTGCAAGGACGCTCGCTGAGCAACCGATATATGACAGTGTGCTAATAGAATACTGACACAGAACCCTCCGAGGACTAGCGACACTGAAAGCATTCGCATACTCGGCAAAAACAATGGGAGCTCAAAACCAGCCGATGAACCAGCGATGCGAATGCCGTCCGTATGTCCAGATCAAACAGCAACATCGAGTGCCTTCTCCGACTGGTATTTCGTACATACTGTTCCGTCATATTTTGTATTTTCGGCTACGCTGGGCGTTCTGTCACGACCATCCATGTTTTCGTCTGTACATTCCCACCTCAGGTGTTTCTTCGGTTTCATGACTGCAACTTGTCGCATCTCGGGCTTCTTTTCTCCAAGGTCCCCGTCAACCACATCGAACCCCTTATCAGCGACACCCTGTTCCAGCCACTCACTTGCTCTGTCATCACTGGAACTAGTCTTGATCTCGGGAAGAAGTTCGATAGATGGTGGCCGTGATACTGATGAGTAGTGTTGCAATAGATCTTCTCGCTGCTCTTGCTGCCGGGAAAGTCGATGCGATAGACGAGACTCGCGACCGCTTTCGGGGTCGAGAAGCCTCGGCTCGAAGTCTTGTCGGGTATTAACTTTTCTCTTGTGCCGATTGACGAATCGAACGAGCAGGTAAATCATGATCACGATCAATACCGCTGACACTAAGACAACCAGGCCAAGGAAGAGATTGGCAGTGATGCTTGAGACAATCATGTCGCAACTTGACGCTGTCAGTTGCCGTCTGAATATGCAAAAGGACGAGTCCAGAGGTGTTGTTGGTTTTGTGGTCCCTGTAGTAGCAAGTCTGCTGCGTATTTAAGCCTGACATGAGTGACGTGCACCACGTCACTCCATCTCAATCAGGCGCAGAGCACAAGAAAACATGTGCGAGTCCATACATAAGCCTGACTGTACGAGGATCTGATCAAATCGTTGAATTGTATCTTAACGTTGTGCAGAGTCGCACAACCATGGGCAATACATACTGTGCGACAGTTGTGGACTCGAGGGATATGACTGCCAGATCGGAGATGCAAACATAGACAGGGCGAAGAAAAATACAACTTTAATATTCAGCAGATACGCTCAATGAAGACGAGATGATTCATAGACTTTACTCTATGCAGATTACTTCTGCAATGGACCAAGGTAATCGTAAACCATTTTCACCCTCACAACCGCACCTGTGTCAATCTTCCTAACAGTAAACTTCTTTATTAACTTCCTTTCTCCGCCAGATTCAGCGAAGCCCCAAACGTTCCATGAAATCCACTTGCCGGCCGCACTGGACATGAAACTTTCTAAGATATCCCCTTGTTGGGTTTCCTCCAACCACCCCTCAGTCATGTACTTGATGTCTTCATCCGTCGCACCTGTTTCCTTGGACTCTTGCTGGAATTTCTGAAGAGTGGAGTAGCGGGAACGGCCTCTGATGACGCCGAAGATAAAGTCGGTGTGCTCGCGGTAGGTCCAGTCCAGGGTTCGGTTTTCGGGCGAACCCTTGAGGCCACCGGTGAGGACCTGGTCGATCTCAATGAGTGTGGTAGGCGCACCGTCTGAGCCATCGACGGTGCTTTGGCGCAAGTATTGAGTCAGGGTTGCTGTCTCGACGGCCTTCCGTATGAACCAGCTGATGCCCTGGAGGGTGAGAACTGGATCGAAGGCATCAGACTCGGACTTGTTCTGCAGGGCAACGTTAGAGGATCTGTTGAAGAATTGCTTGTTTGATATTCAAGGACTTCGCTTGAGTCTTACCATAGTCCATTGTCCAACGAGGTTCTTCATATCAATGTTCGCAGGAGACGCCATATTTGCTGGTATAGTGTTTTACTGACTTTACCGATTCTGCAAAAGTGCGAATGGCCGATGTTTTATGTTTAATTCTGTTGAGTTATCGACGCAGGAAGCTGCATGTCATTTGAGGGGTAGCAGTCGTCGGTATCCTTATACCGCCACAACCCCGCTTAAACACCATGATTCCCGAGGACAGCCATTTAGGCGTACATCTCCCTTACTCCGCAAAAGTACGCTATCACATTCATTCCAAAAGCATGTGTAAGCCTTGTCGTACTGCCTACCGAGGCTTACCCCCTTTGGCGTTATCCCCTTTGGGATGATCCCCTTCAGGATAGTACCCCTCGGGAAACACTAAAATCGCCAGTCTCACACCAACCACACCGGAAATATGTAAGTAAGGTACACGAGCAAAGACATTGTCAAAGCATCCCGATAGCTCAACGGGCGATAAAAGATGGGCGGAAAAACAAACCGACGATGGCTTGGGAATGAGTGCGTCGGAGAGCGGTGAAGCGAGGCATAGAGGCCCAAAGCAGAATGCGATGAATCCGAGAACCCAGCCCCATTTCACAGAGGCCTGCTCCGCCATTCCGAAACTGAAGTCTTTCCGGGCCTTCAAAAACTTTGTTGTCGCACTCTCGTCTGCGACGAAGCGGAATACCACGGTCTGGCTCTGGTCGTACACACATTCGGACAAACGAGCGCCTTCACAAGGACGCAGACGATAAACTAAAAACTATCCCACGATGATCTAATTATAGGAAAGACATACGGTAGTGTTGCGACCGGTTTCAAAAATTTTCACTGTTGGTGCCTGTTCTTCCATCACCAGGACCATCGAATCTCAAACAGAAGACTTAAAAACCTTTCCCCTCCTCACGATGGCGCTACTACTTTCAGGGCCTATGTAATTTCCCTCAAAAGGCGCATATCTTCTCAGGCACAAAGTGCTTGGATTGGCCAGGATATCCCGAAACCTCCGTCCTGTTTCAACGGCCGCAGGTTGGGTGTGCCGTAGCGCAAACCCGTTGCGCCAACAATGACTTGCCGCGTCGTGAACGCGGGGAGAAGAGTATGAACGCGGCACGTTTCCCTCGTTCTACGCTAAGGCTGCGACGCGGAATGTTTATGATATCTTTAGATCGTGCCATGGTTCTACGGCCGAAAGAGATACATAATATTTGTAGCATCCGCACATGGGAGTGTTTTGGTTGTGGTTTTCGCTTTACTTTACCCTTGACTCCCTGCAATCCTTCGCTTTTACATTCATGCGCAAACACCTGTCAAAATAAGCGCCAACTGATTTTTTAAACACCCAGTGTCTTTTGTTGCACACTCAGGCATCCAGATTGGAGAATTTGTCACGCAAAGTCTCGTCACTCTTTACTCATTGGCGGCGCGCACAAACTTATACCACACTATTACCGCGTACGATCATCTCACAGCGTTACACATACTAGGAACGTGTACTTGTGCATATTCCAATCATCACTTCACAAACCCTCGAATTTGTACCTCCTCAAAGCAGGTTCACAATTCACGACTCCTGTTCTGCGCGACTGGAAATTGGATCTGAGGGACGGTGTGCAGGAACACACAATAATTGGCGCGGATATTCTCTCGGTCCATCCGCAGCACTCATCTCACAATAGTATCCACGACCCAGACAAATTTTGGTTCGAGCAGAGATCCTAGGGCGATCAAAAGGCTTCTGCACAGACCTGTCAAGTCGGCCAGCCTCTCGTTCACTTCATCCTTTTGGTCGCGCTGGCCGTTTGCTTGCTTATTAAAACCCCCTTGGCTCACCCACAACATCCCACCCACGACGACACTTCAGTAACCGTTCTATAATATCTGGTCTTTTGTACCAAGCCGCTCATTAGGTTCATTTCTCAATTATCCACGTAACTCTGCAGGCAGCTCAGCCCATCTCACTGTTTCCGACGATACCCAACACCTCCATACATCAAATAAACAACTCCCAACAAACACTGGGCAAAATGAGACTCACAACACTCTTCTTCGTCGCCACTACAGCCATGGCATTCCGAATCCACTTACTCGAGGACAACAACGACTCTGCCAATATGCTTCTGGACCGTGCCATAGACCCTGCGGACATGAACCCCACACAGCTCTCCATACTGTCAGTGCTCAAGACCGCCATGCCATCCGGCACCAGCATTCCCATGCCGACGGGTACTTCTGAACCAGATTGGTACAAGAACCTGCCTGATGACGTCAAGAGCCTATTGCCGCAGTTTTACCCTGCTACCACTACTTCGTCTGTAGAGATTACGAGTACTGGTAGTAGCAGTACTAGCAGCGAGGTTACTAGCAAAGCATCTTCAACGCCAACTTCAAGTGCAGTCCTGACGAGTAGTCTGGTGAGCGAGAAGGCATCGTCTGCGTTCGTATCTGTGGCTGCGGTTACATCTGCTTCCGTGCAGATTTCATCGGTAAGTACAAAGTGTATATCTTTCTAGCCTACGGCCCACCCGCGACTATATTATTCCCCACCCCCAAACCCATCTGTTCTGAGGGGTTTTTTGACATCCAACTAACGAGACATAGTCTTCTCCCACAGCAACAACACCCCTTTTCTCCTCCACTGTCTCGGCTTTCCCTTCTACCTCTTCCAATAGCAGCACTACAGTCAGTACGACATCTGCCTCGCCAACCCCGTCTGCGCTCTTCTCTGCTGGCCTCAGGAATACCGTGCATACGGGTCTGCTAGCGGTTGTGGCGTATGTCAGTGTTGCGCTAGGATTCTGTTTGTTTGCTTAGAGAGTGAAAGTGAGCGACAGACGTCGTTATTTGCGTGTTTATGGCGCGAGTGGTGGGCGAGTAATATAGTTGTAATGTCTTTTTTTCTTTCTTCTTGTTTCCTTTTGTTAGTAAACTGCTGTATTTGTACGGGGAAAAGAGTAGCAGACGAAGAAGCCCTGGTGGTTGTGCATTTTCAAGGAGCGGAGCGAGGGAGAGAAAGATCATGTTTTTGTTTTTGTTTTTGCAAAGCGTGTGCATATTTAAAATACCCCCAGCGGAGATATCCCATCTGCATCATGATTACCATGAATCGAGTTTTTCTTCATTTCCACACTTTATGCTTTCCATGTAGTCATCATATCGGCTCTCACAAACATAACACTCCTGCAACCCTAACCCCCAGATCAAGCACAGCAAGGTGCTCATCACTACCATCCACTAGCCTCTTGTCCGTCTCACTAAACACTGCCGCAAGCCGCACCTTCTTCACATCCTCCACCCGCTCATCAAACATAATCTGCTCGTACAGCTGCCCCACCGTCTGCGCTGCGCTCCACCCCTCCGCCACCATATTCTCGACTACCTTGGCAATTTCATTATACCGTATCGACTTTTGTGCCGAGGACTTGGGGAAGAGTGCAGATGTGAAAGTAGAGAGAGTTTCAGGTGGTAAGACGCCTGCGATTTCGGCGATGGTGGGGAGGGATACAGACGGTGTCGCTGTGTTACCGGAATCAATATCCATCTCGTCATCCTCTGGGACCGCAGTACGTTTCTTTCCTTTTTTGCTGCCGCCGCCTTGAGATTGTATAGCGCCGACAAGCCGCGCAGCAGACTGTAAGAACGTAATTGCCTTTCGTAAATCGCCGTCTGCTACACGCACCAATTCCTCTGCTACACCGTCGTCCAACTTCACATTCTCGAGCGCTGCGATGTCGCTAACGCGCTTGACGGCGTTGCCCTGGTCGAGGCTTTTGAAGCGGAATTTGGAGCAGCGGGAGGCGAGAGGGTCGATAATGCGGGTGACGTAGTTGCAGACGAGGCAGAAGCGCGTCATGCGGCTGTATGTCTCCATTGTGCGGCGGAGCGCGGATTGTGCGTCTTGCGTCATGCTGTCTGCCTCGTCGAGAACGATGATTTTGAAGGGTGGGCACGGGTACTTGTCTCGGTATCGTACCATACCCTCTTCTCCTGTCCCGCTCTTGTCTTCTACCATGACGTTGTATGTTGGTGCTACGCTAAGTTGTTGGCGGGCAAAGTCTTTGACTTTTTGCCGTACGATACTGATACCGCGCTCGTCGGATGCGTTCAGTTCCAGTACACGCGACTTCATGAGTTCAGGTCCGTAGAGTTCTTTGGCAAGGGCGAGGATAGTCGAGGTTTTTCCTGTTCCTGGGGGGCCGTAGAAGAGCATGTGGGGTAAGTTGGAGGACTGCATTGTGCGGGAGAGGACTTGGATAGTATTGTCCTGGGCTGTGACTTCGGACAGCGTCTTGGGTCGGCTGCAATGGTTGTTAGCCTGGAGTCTCAGTTGGTTGATACGCGGGGGTGTGTACTATTTCTCTACCCATGGTTGCAAGCGATTTGGCTCTTGCTTTGTTGTAGGGGCTTTTGACGAACTCGCCTGCGCAGCGGCCTGTTGCCGGGCCTTGATGTTGAAGAAATCGGCCATTGTGACTTGTGGTGGCTGCGTTGAAGTCGGGCGAAGTTGGAAAGCTAAAGTGCGACGCGTCGACGCGAACTCGCGAAAGCACGTTATTGCCAACCGTGCGGCGGCTCACCAATCACGTCACCATCACATAGAGTATCATGTCGTTTGGAAGATCAGAACATTTCTTGAATTATTGGATTTAAAGCTGAACATTACAGCTCACTGCTTATCTCATGCATGCCTTGCTCATCTTGGCGCCATCCATTCGTTCATCAAGTCCATATGCCATCAAAACTGGCGCTCTGCTGCGCTGCCCATCATCGGTCGAAATTCGTACCTATGGTGTTAAGGGTCACGCCTCAGGAGCCAGACTAGAAATATCTAATCTACTTCCCATTCAGCCTAACCCCCTTGACCCGCTTAGCCAATTGTACTGAATCGGAATCTGAGCCATAGGAGGACTGTCGCATTGTACGCTGGTGCTCCAGGGGAAGAGGTGCTGCAGCCCCCCTCCTGGCTGATTGAGAGGGAGACGGAGACTGATAGGAACGTTTCGGGGGGCGCTCACCACTTTCTTTGAGAATGGTTAGAAGAGTTGCCCAGCCTGGCGTGTGCTGGAGTGCTGAGCCTTCTGAGGTATCGTGCGTTGACGCAACCTTGAACAGAAGCGATTCTTCGTCCTTTTCACCAAATTAGTAAACGATGGCTGAATTCAGGAGACAATATACCTTTGATAAGATTCCCAGGTTGTGGATGAAGCAGAGCATGTGAAAGTTCGAAATCGCCTTCAGGCCACTGGCAGTATTGAGAGCGAGGCCATTTGCCTTGGCATTGAGAGCCTTGCTAAGATGCGTAATCTCGGGCATTTCGCCCATGGCTTCGCGGTTTTCAATTGGAAACTTGCCGCCAGTAAAGAGAGGGTTTGGCTGAGTAGGGAAACCATGAGTAAGTGTAAGAAGCAGATACTCAACTGGAAAGTCAGGTTTAGCAATTTCTTGTACGTTTGCGCCGTGTTCGTTGATCTTTCGGTAGAAAACTTCGGGGATATATCGCGTGCGGTTGAGCGCCTCGTTGTCTTCTTCTGACTGGACAAGCATGACCTTGGGTTCCGCTGAAGGCTCGATGATGTCGGCGCGTACCATCTCGACAGCGTCGTTTGATACCTGATAAGATGAGATGCCAATCTGACCTTGGTCATCACCGCTAATAACACATGTTACAAAGTTAGATCCGTGCCGGCCGGTATCGCTCCATTTTGATGGCCGAGGATACTTTGCCTGATACCGTGCCGCAAAGCAAACCTCAAGTGAAGACAGATAATAGGAATCTATGTGTCGCTTGCAGATGACGGAGCCATCACCCTTGTCGGCGTCGAGAAGATCAGTAAAGATGACACCGACTCGTTGCAGCCCGCACTGCGCGGCGATGTCGTCAATGACCTGCTCGTTATCCCAGTCACCCAACGATATGCCGTCTACTTCATTGATTTGTGGTGGCTCGTAGATGGTCTCAACCACAGCCTTTGTTCCTAGTGGCACCTCAGTGTACTCCTCATATCTGCCGTATAAGAAACCCAGTCGCTGACAACCAGTTTGCCTCCAGAAGTTGATCAAATCGTCGACAACCTGTATAGATGCAAATTCGACGTGGTCCACCATGCGATATTCTTGCGGTTTAAGTGAGATGGCGCTGGGCATGCACTTTGTGCAGATACCCTCTGGGAACGGCTTGTGCCCCGATGGACAGTCGGGTTTTACGCGGTAGTAGGGTTCGGTCAGAGGTGGGATGTAAGAACTTCCGAGCTCTGGTCTGTTCTTTGCCGAGTTGACCTTGCGCAGGTACGAGTGGAAAGAAAGATGCTTGATCTTCTTTTCGGCAAGGTACTCGGGTGAGTAGGGCTCCAGCGGCATACAGTAGTCGCACATGCCCTTATGTCCGTGGGTGCACATGCGGGCGTCGCGTTTGCGGGGAATCTTGCCATCTTGCCTGTCGAGCCGATCGTCAAGCGGAGATTGTCTGACCACTTCCCATGGGTTCTTTATAATTTGGGTGGGGGCATCGAGGGGCACAGAGGCGGTTTCGGAGGGCTGGACGGGTTTGCCATTCAGTCGCGCGCCGCCAGAGGCAATTGCAGCATGGCCATTCGATGGCGTAGATTGCTCTTCAAAGGAGAGGAAGAGTTGTGCGCCGTTCCTAAGGAGGCGTGAGCGGCGATATCAAGCTTGGCCAAGCTACTTACGACAGGTTCACTTGCTTAAAGCTCACACCTTTGAGATCTACGAATTTCCTCTCATCGCCACCTTGCGGACGGTTACTGACACTGAGGCTCTGGAGATCGATGTTCTTGGGGAGCTTCTCGGCGATTTGGGGAAGAATGTCTGGAAAAGTGTCTTCGGGCTGTACTGTCAATCTGAACTGACCCTCTTTGCTAACGAACCTGAGTATCATGGCGGGACACTATCAGTGTTGGCGGGCGGTACAAAGCGTTGGGGAGTGAAACAGTTGAAGGAATAGAAGCGGAAGAGGTTGCAGGAGGTAAGAGAGGTGCCGATAGAGACAGAGTTGGGGAGAAATGAACGGTGGTTGTAGAGTGATTACACACAAAGTGACTAGGAGGGCATCGAAGGCGGCAGAATGACGCGCGCGACGTTAGCGCACATCCTGGTTGTAGCGCGAAACCACCCGGCCCTTTGCCGAGTTGCGAACTGGCCAGATATTCTATCGATAACTGACCATACGGCGAGCGCATTCCACGACTACTTGGCCTTCACCCTCCTCCCCAACTGGATCTCACTTCTGAGGACATCGCCGCTCCTTTAGCACTTTTGCAAAAACATTTGCCGTCGCCTGCAACGTGTCCCGCCAACTAAACACTTCTTTACATCACCAATAGTAATTCCCGTGGCCTTCACCTGACGCTCACGATCCAAAATGTGGCCCTTTGACGCCGTCGACTGGCTTATGCTCACCGTGCCTTTTGCCTACATTGGTATCCTGGCCGGCTCTTTTGGTGTCTTCACAAACCTATATCGCAAACGCAAGGCTGCCAACGCTGCGTCTCTCGAACCCTGGTTCCCCACCCACCTCCAGCGCAATGTCTACCTCTCCCTTCTGCACATGGAAGACCCCAAGGTACCAGACAGCATCCTAAAGGCCGCTCTACTACGCCGGGCAACAGAAGATATCCACCGAATTGTCCAGATTAGGAATGCGAAGCAGGCACTACAGGTCCTGTTGCAGAGGGGTAGTGTGGGCGATGATTTGTGGCAGAGGTTCCAGCGCGCTGAGAAGGAAATAGAAGAAGAGCTCAGAGACGTTGTCAACGAGGTGAGTTTGCGCAACACCTTTGCGATATGCCGCATGTAAACTGACAATCTACAGGCCAATGCATTCGCACCAAACTGGGGCCAGACCATCTTCCAATCCGCTTCTGAAATGGCCCAGAACAACCATATCCGTGAGCGCCTGGCCGAGATTGAGGCAAAGGCCCCCGCTGAGAAGGAGTGGTGGGAGAACCGCCGGGCTGGTATTCAATCAGAGTTCATGAAGGAGTTGGATGATGAGAAGGCAAAGAGCGAGGAGGATGGTGTAATGGTGGAGAAGAGCAAGAACTGAGTGCCTTGCATGTCACGGTATACTTACTTCAAGCTCCAATTCAAGTACATTTCTAGGGACCGGGGTGAAGAAGGGTGAGGCTTCTGGCGTTTTACAGCATTCTGAAGGCGCATTGTTAGACGATTGCACACAACGGCGTCATAGGCGCGAATACCATGTTTTTTTTAACTTGCTCAAATGTTGATTGCACTACTACCAAACGCCAATGATCCCATAGAATACATGCTACTACGCTCTGCCATCCTAACCAATGGTTCTGATACACCATGTATAAAAGCCAAAACTTGTACAGCTCTGCCGCCCCCTCTTGCTCTGTATCCGTCCTCATCGACTTACACCTCCATCTCTTACACTTCATTCCTTACTAACTTCATCTCTTACACTCCAGTTTTCTACTTCCTAGCGGTGGGTCCGCTAACACCGGCACCAATGACGCTGGGAAGCTCTTCAGCACCCATTGAGTACAGCATGCCAATACCAGCCGAGACGAGGAAGGCCAGGATAACACCACTGCCGACAAATAGCCAGAACTGAACAGAAATGTCCTTCTTCTGGCAGGCGGGGCCTCCCCAGTAAGTCACTTTCTTCTTGGATTCCATGCCCTTGTCTTCGCCCACATGCTCAACTGTAGCTTTGCAGGCACATCCGTAGCAGTCGACCGTCTCCTGGTTGGATCCAGATCCGCGGCCCTTGTGGAGGAGCGTACACTCGCCGTGGCTGGAGCAGTTGTGAGTCTGGCTCTGGCAAGTGTCCAGCGACTTGAAGCAGACGGGGAGGATGCCGCGCACGGGTCCCTTCTTGTCCTTGCTGCTGTCTGCCTGGGCGATGGAAGGGAAGTCCTCGAGATTGGGAACCTTTGAGGTCGAGGGGATGGCGGAAAGAACGGCTTCTGGGTTTTGGCGACGCGCCTCCATGGCAGGCACGTCATAGGCGCCCCAGGGGTTGGCGGCACGCTTGGACTTGGACTTGGACGAGCGCGGCATCATGACTACGGTTGTAGAGAAGCCAGCCTCCTCTGCCTTTTTGTTGACGTTGCTCAGCACCTGGGCGAGCTCCTCGGCCGTCATCTTGGAGCTCTCGTCGATGCGCCACATGTTGAGGTAGCCATTGTAAGCCTTTGACTTGCTCTTTGGGGGAAGCGCCGATTCAATCTCAAAGTTGGACTTGTATGTTCGCTGCTGGGGGTCTGGGTGTTCTGGCAGCGACTCGGCCTGTGCTATAAAGTCGTGGATGAGGCGGTCGTTGTCAGATGCAGAGGGCGCGCCGGATATGGAAAAGTCTAGTGTGCGATCTGATCCATCGTTGATGATGACTGCAAGCTTGAGTTAGCTGGCAGCTCTTCGTGGCCGTGTTGGCCGTTGCCTCTGCCCACCTGTTGGTTCATCCTGGTCGACATCCTCTGCCCAGACTAGCAGATGCGCCTTGGAGACGTCTGCATCGCCTGCTCCAAACAGTGACTGCCGCTTTCCTCCGTACGTGTTGATGTGGTGAATGGTGTTGGCGTCTGCATGCTCGAGTGAGTGGAATCGCGACAGGCCCAGGCGCTGGGCGATGATAAGACGCGCAGTCTCTGGGCTGACGGTTGGCCGAGCTGCAAGCACAGCGCAGGACAGTGATGAGGCGAAAAAGGCCCCGGATAGCTTCATCGTGGGTGATGGGTTGGGGTTGGAGAGATTCGTTGCTGCGGCGGCGATGATGCAGTCGCCGGGGAAGCTGAGACCCAGATCTCGGAACTTGCCTTGGACGCCTCCGAGCCTATCGCCCACGCCTATAGCCAGAGCACCATTTGTCCACAACATGCAATCTATTCCTTGTCCAGCAAACTTGACCTGCATTTTTTGAGTCTACAGTGCGCCTTCATGTCGCTTCTTGTCACTCACGTCTCTCATACTCTCTGCTTGCCATGTCCAGGCCACTGATGCTTCGGCGCAACTTCTCCCTCTTGAACAGGGTCCCTCATTCTCACATAGTGCGATCGGCCGCCCGCCATGGCCACGAGAGTATCATAATCCAGCGAGTGCGTATACGCCGGCCTTTCTTTAGCAAAACGTGAGCAGTCTCACAAATCCACTCCCGCCACATGCTGATTCACTTTGCAGACGTCTCGTTGGCACAGTCGCCGTCACTGCCGCAGCCTACGGCCTTATCCAGTACTTGGGTCTAGAAATCGAGGTTGAAGAGGTACAAGAACAAGGCAGACAAGACGGGTGGGAAGTGGCTGGCTCTGAGGAGGACGATGAAGAAGAAGAGGACGATGACGCCATTCTATTCCTACCTACGGGCTTCTCGCGACCACGGCCAAGGACGTTTTATAAAGGCTCGGATGCAGAGTGGAAGACATTTAAGGAGATAGCCACAAACCGTGAAAGAGCGAATAAGATACGTAGTAAGTACGACTTGGCAGAGAAGTAATCACTCGCCACTGACATACCCATAGGGGAGTTGGTAAGCATAGTGCGCAACAATGCCGAGAAGAAGACACTGTACACCTCTCGCCTTGGCAAGATTGATACCTCAAAGGGCATGTCATGGGTGGAGATTCAGTTCCCAAATGGTCCACCAATCGAGTACGAGCGCCCAGGCATCGAGCTCACTGAGAATCTGGAATGGCGCAAGGCGACACGCCCAGTTGAAGACGCCCATCACCGGCGCCTAGCGAGGGTACTATATCCTAAAGAAGCCACGGATGCTTTGTACAAAGACACTGCAAGAAAAGCAGAAAAGGCATGGAAGACGTTTAAAATCTACATGGGCTGGGACCAAGAATCCAAATCAGAAACCGTCCAGGAACTCTTCCAACGCATCTCCACAAACCGCCAGTCCACCGGCGAACCTACGAGCATATCACCAACCCCCTTTTCGGCTTCTGCAAACGACACCCAGCGACCAGGCACCTCGCCCTCACCAGCCCCCGTCGACGGCCCCGCAGGCATAGGCTTCGACCTCCCCGACCCCAAAAGTATGACGCTAGACCTCACTCAATTCCGCGCCGACTTCGCCAAAACCTATATGCCTATTGTACTGCAACCTCCCCGTGGCGCATTCATAGTACGAGCTCTCATAGAAATCCATGGTGACCGCGCCCGCTTGACGCTCAACGTGAGCGCCGTGTACGACCCCAAGCAAGGCCGCTACATCCAAATGTCGGCGGTTCCTTGGAACTATGTCGAGCATTACCAGGCCCCAAAAGGTGGGAAGTGAGTGCGCGTTTCCCTGGCCTGATTGGTTGTGTGTGTATGTGTGCATTGTTACTGGGCGTCACGGGGTTTGGATGGGGGGTTTGAGCGCTAGATATGTTCGATATCCTTTGCATGGGTGGTGTCTGTTTTGGGCGTATAGCGTTTTGAGCGGGTATCATGGGCGAGTAGATTGCGTGCGCTGTGTACATCTGAAATGAGATTTTCATGCTTGATGTGTTCTTTTTTTCTTGTGTTGGTTTTGTTGTGTATAGTGCTGGAAAGCAGGATAATAGAGTATGTATGTCATCGTATCATGCGTGGCAATCTCTTGTGATTTATTTCTCCTTGTCGTAAGTCCCATTTGGAACATTTATCTGTGTTTCTTGGTTCCGGATAATGTTATCATTGACTTCTCTTCTATATAAAACACACCTTGCTTTTGTGTCAACGTTTACCACACGTTGTTACTTATAATCAGGTCTTGCTGTCATTCTCATCCTACGAAAGTCAATCAAATCCGCAGAATTACCTTTTTTTTTCAAGAGAGATGATATATATGGTAATATGTGCGCAGCCATACGAAATATTACTTTAACCATGTCGAGGCTTACATGCATCCACGAATGATACTTTTGTATCACAATGCTTCCCAAGCTTTGTTGATCTAGGGTACCATTAAACCCGAGACCAGCTTTCATCTCTCTCTATATCTCATCTCTTATCCACCGATGCAGTAGCGGGAAATCCCAAATCCTTGGATGTTTGAGAAGCTTTTTTTTTAAAACGGGTTCAACTACCTTTGAAGTGACCATACAATATAGCTACAGTGCGCACAACGAGACGTGTTGTACAACAATGCATTTACCATGTACTCATCAAAAATGTGGGATATTGAGAAAACAAAGGAACAAAAACTGTGCGTCAGTTCTTTGGTTTAAAATGAAAGAGTAGAGACAGACCCCTCATCTAAATTCTGTCATAGGGAAAATGTTCAATTTCACTTTCTGATACTACAGCTAGAAGTTTCTGAGGTTCAGTGTTAAGAGAAGTTTCCTTGGGATTTTCTCCTTCTTTGACTACTGCATGTCCTTCGGACCTGCTTCTTGTACCTACGCAACTCTGAATTTTCAAATGATATAGGGACTAGTTGCATAGCCTGTTGAGAAAAACTTAGTAGGCAGGTGACTACATCGTGAAGCTGACACTTCTCACGGGTGTGGGCTTCTTTACTTTACGATTACAATGGCTGAGTCCATGGGATGGAAAGATGTGGACGGTAAAAGCATGCGCCCTTGTGAAGAAAGAATATGTATCAGAGTGGCACTTATAGTATATAGGTACCCTGTTCGTAACTATTAAAAGAAGAAAGGTAGTCGATGTAAGCGGTGGAGTCCAACCCATCGATATTAAGCGCTGAGTGCGCGGGGGCTAAGTCCTATAAATACTACCCGCTTTATATTTGGTAGTAACGGGCGCCTACTACTACTACACTACAGACGTATCGCAGCCCTAGTCTGGGTTTTGGTCTCTTAGAATAAAGTATTTCACGTTTGGACAGAACAGTGAGAGTTGACAGGGACAGGATTCGGATGATTCGCTGCCGCCTCGTCTCGGTCGCGAATCCTCAAAACGGTCAAGATTGTGGTCTGACAAGAGCATGACTTGGCAAACAACACGCCATGCTCACAAACCCATGTAATCACCAAAACTTTGTTGTTGTAAGCTCCAGAGTTATCTTTCTCCCAAAGCAGACGCGATATAGACTGGCCTAAATACTCAAAGTCCTGCACACGAGTCACTGACCGCGTCGCACAACAAAGACAGCACGCACCCAGCGTCGTATGCATTGGCAGTGGATTTTAGGGTTGTTCCAAAAATGTCGTATAGACACGTAATAACAGTTTCGTGCTATAGTGCTTGGGTCGTTATCATGACGCGGCTTGGAAGACGCGTATGTTGGACACCGCCCCGGGCAGCCCGGACATATTCTTGTTTCTTAACGCGGGCGTGGAAAGATGAAAGGAAACGTCGTACATGCGTGCTGCATGGCTCTCATTAAACGTAGAATAGGCGTAAATGGAGTATATCAAAGTATGGGACCAGGGTGTACTGGTGAGCACGTGCTCTAGTCTCTGCCTAAAGTACATAGTAGTATGTACAGGTAGACCGCTAGAAAAGACGTACCATACTATGTAGATAAGCACATGGCTTACAATTATTGCCCCCCCCCCCCTCGCTTCCCGAAGCCAGTGTTACAGTGCATCGCCACATCGTTCCTGGCCTATACCATATGGGATTGGTTCGGTCCTTCTTTTTTCGAGACGTGTATCTAGGTATACGTATCCGCTCGCCCCGACCTTCCTATTCATGCCCAGCAAAACATGTTCAGGGGAATCCGGCCAAGGTGCATTAGTGCAGCGCAGCTTTTCCACCAAGAAAATGGCGTCGGTAGTGGAGGCGCGAGTGGCCCCTTTGGCGAAAAACTGTCTGGGCGTTCCCAAAAATTCCGGTGCGCTTCTAGACCCAGCGTGAATTCTGGCGGGACCGAGTGTCTCTGGTGCCGTATTCCAAGTCGACGGTATTGGTACTTGGTAAAGAACGAGTCAGGCGCTTCTAGGCGCCGGATAGTGGAGGTACGAACAACGCAAGCGCCTCGAGATGAACAAAGAAGCAAAGAGGTTTGGTGTGAAACGGGCCGAGGGCGTGGGTGTGCAGATCGGCAAAGGGTGTACCTGACAGCAGCGCCTTGGGAGTCCGACGCTCGCCACTCGTGTGCCAAGTGCGGAATCCAGGAGAGAGGACGTAAGTCCGTCAGTAATACGATACGCATGGTCAAGTCACCGCGCATGCACACCGTCTAAAGTTCTCGACCGTCTCGACCCCCACAGCGATATCACTCAGGCACTCAGAGGTTGAGAGGGCGAGCAGGGAAAGACATCCTTCAGCTATGTTGAGAGCGCCACGTAAACGCCGGAAGGGAAAGAAGGCGTGCCGCTGAGCTGTCGCCCGAATCCCCTCTCAAGCGCCCGAATTCACTCGAGCTAGCGGGAGATCATGGCCCTGGCAAGGCAGTCTTGGTAAGACTGATCTCGTACATGTAGGTTTGGCATGTACAGATATGGCAAGTGAGATTGCGTGTGTACGTTTCACAGCGCAAAAACGGATTGTTGGTGATGCCTGGCGACAGTGGGTTGGGTTGCAGAAGGAAAAAAATGGGGGCCTGACAGCTGTAGTGGTAGTTCGGGTGCCGGGACTAAAGCCATGGTTTGGTTTGGATGACAGCATCGAGGAGGGCGTGCGTGGTAAGGCGTGGGTGGGTTCGCAAACTCAAAAGAGAGTAAGATCAGCCACGGAACGTTGGTTTTGCCGGACAAAGTACTTCCTGAAACGGACTGGTGGCGCATCGCTAAGGTACATGCCGTGGGCTAGACGGCCATCCAGAATCTTTTCCACTTGCACGCCGGAAT